TAACCCACCATGCCTCCCCACCCTCACCTTTTCTGTGCCTGCATGTTGCTCCTTTCTCGAGGACAACCCGTTTAAAAAGAGGTCTGGGGCCATACAATGAACTCATCGGTGAGAATCATAGAATCACAGAATGGCCTGAGTTGAAAAGGACCACAAAGATCATCTAGTTCCAAACCCCCAGCTATGCCCAGGGTCACCAACCAGCAGACCAGGCTGCCCAGAGCCACATCCAGCCTGGCCTTGAATGCCTCCAGGGATGGGGCATCCACAACCTCCTTGGGCAACCTGTTCTAATGTGACACCACCTCTGTGTGAAAAACTTCCTCCTAATATCTAACCTAAACCTCCCCTGTGAGAATGCACAGAAGCAAGCCAGACCTCCTAGATTCCAGTCCTGCAACTTGAATTACTCAAGAACAATGCAGTCAGTGAACGAATGCAGAAAGCACTGGAGTTACTGCCATCAGATAGTTTCCGCAGCACATTACTGTGTGTTCCAGCCCATGACAGGGCTGGAAGAGACTGCTATCAAGCAATGGCATCCATTTTGTGTTCTGTATCAACTTGTGCCCAAACCTGCCCGAGGCACCACTGCTCTGCTGCATTCCTCCCAACTGCCCTGTGCTATGTCTGCTGATGGGCTGACAGTTGGCTTCAATCTAGGAAGTCTTTTTCAACCTTAACGATTCTGTTATTCTATGACATCACACTGGGCCCAGCACTGATCCCTCTGCTCATGACTGCACCAAGCTGTTGTAAAAACGCAGGCAAAGAAGGGATGTGCTGATGGGCCCAGAGGCAGATAGTGAGGTGCTGCTACATGCTTATCTTTCATCATGTTTAGACCACTGAGACGTGAGGAAGCATTTGGCAAGAGTCAACCTATTTGTGTGGTGGGATCACAGTTTAGGAATTTGTAAAGTGCTATGCTCATGGACATTATGTTTTTCAGGATAGCCTGATCTGAATGTGTCTGCATTCAGTACTGGGGAGTTCAACTCGATGACCTTTAAAAGTCCTTCCAACACAAATGACTCTATGATGGGTACTGCTTTGTGGCATGCATTTGTATACATAGGACAGATGAAGAGTTGAGACCCTCCTAGGACACCAGGCCTGTTTCATGATGTGGTACACAGAAAAGGAATATCAGATTCTTCATCCTTTTCTGTAGCTGATTTGCCTGGGTTCTCCAATACCTCTTAATTTGCTCCAAATTTATCTCCTTACCCCTATATAAAAAAACAAACATACATACATATATACACATCTCAGAATCACTAAGGTTGGAAGAGACCCCTCATTTGATGTAGTCCAACCACCAACCCATCCCACCACATCCACTAACAGTGTCTCTCAGTGTCTCATCCACAGGGTTCTTAAACACCTCCAGGATGGTGACTGTACCACCTCCCTGGGCAGCTGTGCCACTGCCTCACCACTCCTTCTGAGAAGACATTTTTCTTAATATCCAACCTAAAGCTCCCCTGGCATGAGTGAATGCCTGTGTTACAACAAGTTCACTAAGGTAGGCAAGGAAAGCTTTGCACTTACTTCAATAAAAAAGTGGTCAGGAAAAAACAGACTTTCTCAGGTCTTACAAACAGCAGCTTCTGGCTTTCCTGAACACTCATCTGGTTGTTTTATTTATTTTCCCTTAGAAGCATGGCTCTTATTTTTTAGAGAAAAAAATATTTGTAATTTTACTAACCTTGTTACTACATTCTGGTTTTTGCTTTGAAAAACTTATGTTGGACAGAAGACCAAGGAGAAGTGTATTTTTGGTCACATGCGTAGAACACAAGTGATCTTGGATCTTGAATAGCCACTTTCTGTAACACAGACATTATCCCTTCTTATAAGAATCCCCTTCGTGTTTTGAGTCATTCTGTTTTAAATTTTAGTTTTCCGATCATAGTTGATGGCCAGCCAGCTATCTTGTCAAATTACCTAAATAAACCTCCATGTACTCTTCTAAAATCATCTATTCTAAAGTGGTGGGAGTTTTCACATAACTTTGTTAGGTTACACTTATAGATCATATCTTTGCTAAAATGTTTGCTTTTTTCTCCCTCCATTGATTGTTAGATTCACTTGTTTTTAAATACACCTGACTATTTACCATTACATTTTTCTACTTATCATTTTTGTGAGCTGGATTCTGCCTTGTTTGGAGACACAAATATAGAATATTTTTGTTAAGATACTGAGGCTGAAACTGCTGTAGATTTTCCTGTCACCTTGGAAACTGGTCTTTGTTTTCCCCAAATCCAAACTCCACCTTCCCCAGCACACAGTGAGGTATTCAGTAACAAAAAAAAATCACAGATCTGCATCTGTCTGTAAAACTTAACTTGTTTCTGCAGTTTCTTACTGCTTACTGCGTAGGATGAAAAGATCATTCTCAAGTTGGAGGCCACAGAGCTTCCTCACCTAAACTAAAATTTGTGTGCACAATGCTTTGAGAGTGACCCATCTCAAGTAAGAAACATAAGCACAAGCTGAGCTAGAACAAACATCACTGAGTTACTGATTGAGTTACTGCTCACTCTTATATGGCATCAGCTTGACCCTCCAGCATGGGATGAAGAGGGCTGGATGCCCCTTCACAGGTTCTCTGGGATGATACTGCTTGTATAGCCCATTCAAACTGCATGACCTCACTCCCTGCCAGTGACCTCCATCTACCAGCATACATCTGAAGACTGAGTAAATGTGCAACAACAGATACGCACAAGGAGCCATAGTTCAGCTTTTATGCTGCAGAAAATCTTGTTTAGAGGAAAAGGAAGGCCAGAGGGACATAAGTACAAAGAAACACCTTCCTTCCTTTTTGGGGTGGTTGCTATTTAGAAAGGGAAAATGCGTAGCACTGCACAGCTGAAGAAACAGCATGACATTTATTTTGCATAGCAACTAACAAAAAAGCTACAGAGCCCTTTATGGAATTCATCATCCAAAATACACAATTTCTGCCCAAATAAAGAGAAATGGTGGTGGGTAGCAAACTAGGAAAGCTTCATTTGGCAGAAATCCTACAAAACGCAGTTCAGTATTCAGCTGAAATCTTATTTCAGATTCAAGGCAGTTGGAGGTAGGACCTTCCTTTGGGTTCTGTGAATTTAATGTTCAAAAAAGAAAAAAACAGTCCCCTCCAGAAGCATATCCTAGGTAAATTTAAAAGGAAAAAAAAAAAAAAAGGCAAGTTACAGGCCAAGAAGAATAGAAGGGGAAAAGAGGATGTCCGTTGACTAACTTGTCTCTAAGTTAGAGGACTACAATCTGCTTTGCTCCATCCCCTGCATGTGGATGTCAGCCCCTTGTGGACATTAACTTAGAGGGTAAGGGACATTAATAAGCAAGAAATCGTGCTCTCCTCTCCTTAATAACTCCATCAGATGTGCTAAAGGGGTGGGGGACACAGGACAGGAGCAGAGTCCCAACTTCTCATAGAAGGAAAGCATGGGGTCTCAAATAGGAATACCTGGCTGTAGTTGTCGCATAGGTTATGCTCAGTATTTACAAACTTCAGTCAAGTGTAACTGCATGGTGGCCAGAGAACCTGTAGCTGCAGAACAAATCTGCACATGGTGGAACACTCGGGAATTAAACCTCTTAAAGGGCAATAAATATAAAGGAAATCAAGAGGTGGAGGTACAGAGCCTTTAGTCTTCAGACCGAAATTACACATTAAGCGTTCACTGAAGCTGACCAAGAGAAAAGCATAACTGACACCCTCATTCTGGCAAAGAGTTAGTATTTTTCCAGGCAGGAGATCGTGGCCCTGCTCTCTGAAAAGAGGCCCGAGAGCAACGTGTGCTGCTGCAGCTGATTAACAGTGCCACCAGCCGGCCAGCTGGAAGAGTGCCAGTTCACCTAAGGAGTAAAACATCACGTAGATCTATTCACCACCTTTCACCCCAGAAACTCTGCACACTCAGACTCTGCTCCCACAAGCCCTTTGCCAAATACAACAAGGATTATTCCTCTGAGAAACCAAAGAAAAGGTCTTACACCCACAGAGAGGCTTTGCAGCACTAGTTTCAGTGGGGTCAAAGAAGATAATGAATCACTTCAGCTTTCCTGGTACAGCTAACAGCACACAACAGAAAGTCCAGTTTGGAAAGGCTCTTTCCAGCATGGAGCACATCAGTCAGCAAGATTGAACCATGCCAAATGTCAGGCTTGGTATTAAGTAAACAGATATTGCTACAGAGACAGTGTAGATTCAACAAGTGAAAAGTGTGTTGGCAATTAGATATTTAAAGACATACTTTCCATTGCTTGTGGGGTGACTTCCTTCTGGAAGCTGAGCTTACCAATGAATTAAGTTTCGCACTTCACTGTCTTTCTTTATGGACAAAACACCAACTATGAGAGCTACTGTTGTTGGGTTGTACCCTATACACTAAAGCCAACAGTGCCAATAGCACAAAAATAATCAGGAAAGATCTTTGCAATAAAGATAACATCAAAAAACTTGCATTAAGATTTTCTTTAGTTGGGTCAAAAGGTGATGGTACCTTTCACACAGCATTCTGGCCAGCAAATAAAAAACTGGTTTTGCATGACAGCTGCAACAGTCAAAGGACTGTGTAATGCAAAAGCAGTTGTGGGAAGGCTATCATTTATAAAACCAGTCTAAAATTTCAGCAGCCTTGCAAGCCTTTGCCAAGAATTCTGGTCAGGATTCTGCTAGATCGTAAGTGCATCATTACGTGGTTAAATTTTATATTTGAACAAATGGAAGTCAATTGGGCTTCTGGGGAACTGGAACAATATATAACAGTTTACACTGTGCAGGTGTCCTGTGGTGTCATTAATAGACACTTTCTTTCCATTGAGAGGCTTGTGTGTATTTAGACAGTCCCAGGAAACCATTAAAAGCCAGTGAAGAAAAGTACAGCGTGACAAGCGATGAAATCTGAAAGAGATTAAAAAAAGGTCAAATGATGCTGCATTCCAAGCCCCAGAAATAAAATAATGTGAGAGATAACAAGTGACCATCGGTGAAAGTTTAATTTTCCATCTTCAAAACATATTTAGGATTGTGCCAACATCCTTATCCCAAGCCTCTTTGAACTCCGAAGCAGTGTAATTCCATTTTAGAGCCATTGACAATACATAAATGTTATGACCAATAAAAGCAGAGAGGTACAGAGATAAGAAATGGCTGTGTAAGATATGTTTCTGAAGTGGATGCACACTGAAGACTGTCTACACGAAGTTAAAAATATCCTTGGTTTTTGTGCATGTTTCTCAGTAAAATTTTGTATCTTCATGGCTTTGAGGCTGTTACTGATGAAGATGGTTGTGAAACAGACCCTCTATTTCTAGGGAAGTAGTATCTAGTAAAAGAAGTGTCAAGGAAATGTTTTGGAATGCCAGACAACACTTTCACCCAGAGATTTACAAAGCAAGGAGGCAGAATGGCCTGTATACTATTGTCTCTCTTTCGGATTTTCAATTTCACAGCATTGCTGACAGTGGCACTGTAGAAAAGCATATCTTTGCAGAGAATTGACAAAAAAAGATAAATATTTGTTTCCTTTCCTGTATGGCAAAAGGAGTGAGCTGTTTGGTTACGAGAGTCTGTCCCAAGATGCACCAACTCCACCAAGTTCAGCCAAAGAATCAGGATATAGCTTGCTTGGAAACACTGTAATGTATTTTTTTCCAACCTCCACAGTTTCGCTATTTTCTGAGTCACTTCCATTATTCTGAAATTTCAGTTATCTCCATCACAGACGTGACATACGCAGTTAAGCTGATGGCTGTCAATAGAAAATTAGCCTCTAGTCCCAAAAAATTCTGATAGACGTACCGAATCACATTAATCTATCTTTACTGCCTAAAGCAGTATGTTCTTACCATGTAATGAGTACCTGGATGATAGTGAAGTCAGATAAATCGAGTTTTTAGCTGGATCGTGGCGTCTGTTTCTTGCCTCATTTCCTTACTTTTTACCATCAGATATTTAGGGAATCATTCCAGAATCAGATTATGAGCCAAACAAAACCTATTCTGAAAGGATACATGAGTGTGGGGATACCCCGTGTTGCCAAGTACTTGTGGATGAGCCGCTCGGTACCATACCAGTTGAAATCTTTTGTTGCATACCCAATACGTGGAAAGTGCACTGTTGCTGAGAAGTGAAGAAAGACACTCTTTAGGACAAGATACTCTTACAGAAAGCAGTCTAGATAAGGAGTTCAAACTACCCAACAAGAACAGAAGGAATATTTTGAAACGCAACATATCCATGGAAATCTCAATCTTACTTCACTTCAGAAAAAATTAATAAAAGTGGAAATTGATCATCACACATGTATTTATGGAGTCACTATTCCACCACACAACCACTTACCATTTCTTTTCTTGGCTGCTAAATAAATCTTCTTTAGGCCCTTTTCCAAAGCAGACAGCTTAATGCCAGACAAATTGTTGGACCGATCCCGGTGCTGAGCTACAATCAAGGCCAACTAAGGAGAAAACACACAAAAAATGAAATGGAGTCTAAATACAGCTCTAAGAGACATAGCAATAGTTGCTGGAAAACTGCATTATTAACGATTAGCTTTAATAAACTCTAAATAAAACTCATTTTTTCAGTATTTCAGCCATTTTCAGTATTTAGGGCCACTATTCTTGGGAAAAAGATATTAAATTCAAAATCATGTAAGGAGAGCAACTCAAAATGGATCTTCTCATTCTCACCAAGTCTTGTCCTTTTCTCCTGGATTTTTTATCATCAATGGGAAATAACAGGGTTCCTCCTAATTGCAGGTCTGCCCAGAAAATAAGAACAGAAGAAAAACAAACAAACAAACAAGTCAGAAGAGTCAATAGTGAGTGAACACAGCAGAGATTTCACTGTCATGTTCTGTTTTATTCTTCTTGTCTCTCTCCTCATAACGGATTCAACAGTCAGAGCCCAGGGAAACAAGACAGACATAAACCTGCCCCAACACACAGAGACACACCACCCAGTTAAAAACCACAGATGGAAAGAAAGACACTGAAACAAGAATAAACCAGAAAGTTAGAAAAAACAACAGGTCCTTCTACAGCAAGATGGGCATTCCTATCAGCTGCAGGTAGCTGAAAACTGCTAACACATGTTCAGGAGAAGATTGATGAGAATAAAAATTACAATTAGATACTGACTCCGATGTCTTTCATCCTTCTTAAAAGCACTCTGACAGAAGATGATGGGCTCTACCTTCTATGTGGAAAAATAACCTGTGAACGGTGATTTTTCTATTTTTTGACAACTTGCAGAATTGATCAGATCAACCAACTCCTATGCAGAGTTCTCAGACTCCCAGCAAGTCAAGTCAAACTGCTTGCAGAACTAGAGATACAAATATCTAGAGAAAGAGCTAAAAACACAACTGCCAAGGTATTTAGATTCCTCACTCCTACAGCATCACGGGGATTGAAACTCTTAAGTATCTTGGACTAGGGTCATGTTTTAATCTCTTACCTTTCATCTTCCCTGCCATCTCATATATTCTTCTTGGCTGATCAGAACGACTCTCCAGAGCTGTAAATAAACCACCCCTTCCCCAGCGGCCAGAGTCATCTAGAATGCAATGACAGATCAGTATTTTAGAAATTGAGATTGAAAACCATCCCAGAAGGAAAAGGGGCCTACTTTGGCTAAATGCAATGAATGACCATCAAAAACAGATATGAGAACCAAAGGTGAATTGAAGAGAACCAGCAAGCAAGGGACTATCCTGAAGGATAAACCTTAGCCACTGAGGAAAAACAAACTTGTCACAATTCCCTGAGAAAACTGCAATAAGAATTCCTCCCGACTGCCCACTGTGGATATTCAACCAAGTATTTATCATGGTAGTGAGCTTATAAAACTGTCAGTACCCTCATACCCAGGGAGAACATGCGCATATTATGTTCCCAGATTGGTGCTTTGGGCTTCCCACAATTAGATGTTTGTTAATTGTGGGTTTTTCTTGTCACTTGGCATTTCCACTTTAACCACGAGTTTTTATGCTGAGTTTAACATAAGCCAAAGCAGCTTATAACATTCTGCTATAGCCTTGGTAAGAGCTTCAACACTGATTCTGGAAGAACTCTGCAACCTGAATTTCTCTCCCTCAGCTTCAGTGTCTTGACAGAGGTCCTAAAACTAGCAACAAGCTTCAAACCTCTGTACTGTCATTGCAGAGAGACAAGAAACCATGAGAGTGCAGTTCTGACCTCAGCCTCTGAAATAGCCCATCTCTCTCTGCTGACTGCATAAGGGAGGTGATTTTCAATATTTCAGTTCAGCTTACATGAGATGAATATAAGGCCTTCACCTCCAGAGGCACTGTCCCTGCTTGTCCACAGAAGTACAGTTCCTAGACATACCTTTCAAGAGGCTCACCCAGAAACACAGACCCATATACCCCTTCCTAACACTTGTGTGGGTTATATATTGTGAAGCAGAGTCTGTACTGCCTCTATATCACTCAAGATCAAGTCAGACTCAAAATGATTTCAGTCTGCTATGGAATTAAAAAGTACCAAGCTAGGAAGTACAACTCAGCCCCTTGCCCATCCCACTTTACAGTAGTTCTGTTGTCATAAGTCTTACCAAGGCAGTGGACAATAATGGCATTCTCCTCTTCTGCTTTGGGGTGGGTGACATCTCCCATAACGTACTTGATACAGTTTACGTCCACATCTCTGTAATCTAAATCCACATTCAGCTCAGCCTCTCCCTCCTCAAACTCTTCCTCAGATTCACTTTCCTCTGAAGGGAGACAGGTAGATGTGTAATGATTTGACTCCCACCAAGCCATCCTGAAACAAGAGAAGAAATTCAATGAAAATAAGCAAAGATGGGCGGAGTCTGCACCTTGTTTTAAATGACTACAGCAAAACACAGGAGGTCCTGATCTGCATTCCCTCTGCTGCCCTCCTCTATTTTAGATAGGAACCAAGATTACCCCAGCTGGTATCTGTGATTTTAAGTGCCCTGTGCTGGTGTGATAAAATGATTGTAGGCATAGAAAAAGTAAGCATACGACAAAGCGGAAGGAGTTATTCAGAGTGATGAAAAGGAAAAATAGATAGGAAAGAAGAAGAAGTAAGTTAATACACGTGCCAAAGAGTTACTGATACTAGAATGAGACACAGGGACCAAGTCTGACACTTCAGATGTAGGTTGTCCCAAAAGCTCACTATACACTCAGATATGAGGTTCTCATTCAGGCCAATCTTGATGAGTTAAATTAGATGTGAAGTATTCAGAAATATCCTGATGTATGAAGCTAACTCTCTCAAGAGATTGATCTGCAGCCATTTTGTCATCTTCTCCCCTCATTCTCAGCTCCACCTTCCAGAGTGGATACAGAGCACACTTCTAGAGCACCCTGTAACAGAAACCAAATTAAAAATAGTTGATGCAGTACAAGCCATACTTTTTCATGTGCTCTGCCTCTGCTTTTGCCTTTCTCCTTTCCTCCATAAGTTTTGCTCTCTTTGCAGCTGCTTCTTGGCGCTTCTTCCTCCTAGTCTCCAGCTCCTCTGTGCTCAGCAAGTGTTTCCTCCTTGTTGACTGGTCCCGGAGGCCTGTAAGAAGAGTCTAGAGAAAGAAAGCTGCAATTCAGAAACAAAATGCTCATCTCAAGCACACGTCTGGTGCCCACTTTATGCTGCACAGAATCACACAATGGCCTGGGTTGGAAGGGACCTCAAGGATCATCAAGCTCCAACCCTCCTGCTACAGGCAGGGCCACCAACCTCCCCATTTAATACTAGACCAGGCTGCCCAGGGCCCCGTCCAACCTGGCCTTGAACACCTCTTGGGACAGGGCATCCACAGCTTCCCCGGTCAGCCTGTTCCAGCACCTCACCAGTCTCATAGTGAAGAACTTCCTCCTGCACTCCTTTCCCATTTGTCCACTTGCCCACAGCTCTTAACCATCAGATTCTAGAGTTCATACAAATGGGTGGTTTTGCCATCTAAGTTTATATTAGTGCCCAGCATTCCATCTATGATCTGTTGCCAGAATCGCTGAATTGTCCAACCCTCAGATTCACCAACCCTAGTTCACTGGCATCTGAATCTTTTAACTTTTTTTTTTTTTTTTTTTGTGAGCTGTAAGTAAAGAGAGGAAACTGTCAGTTTCATTTTCTACAAGCAATTAAGAGCATCATATGCTTTGTCATGTCTTTTGCCTTACATTTGCTTTGTTTCGGAGAGCTCTCCCTTCTTTACTGGTCTCTTCGGTCAAGGCTTTCTGAAGATCCAAAAGCTGATCAAATGCTTTTTTGTCTTCTCTGCTGGGTTCTTTTGAATAATCTTTGCCTTCATACACATACATGTGATCTTCAAAAAATAATTTACAAGTACAAAAAGGAATTGAAAGCCACTAACACTTGAAATATATAGCAAGATCAAAAACAATTAGGCTTCTCTGTTACACTGTTCTACCCTCAGCAGAAAAAGACATTTACTGTCTTTTATATGACCGGAGTCAGCACAATGTTAAAAGAACAGAATCAAGATTTGCTTCCTCAGACAAAAGCTTTCTGCTTCAGTCACAAATCTGTACTCAAAGCAGAAAGTCAGTCTGTCTCATGGTACTATAAGAAAGAAAGTATCTTTAAAATTTATTCTCATATAATACAGAGAACTAATCACGATTAAGTTACATTTTTATTGGAAAGTAGAATAACGAAGACAAAATAGGTTTGTTCTAGCTGTTCAGGTTCAATGGCTCTGCATTTCTTATCTCATATTTTGGAACTCTCCAAGGTCATTTTAACTTGTGTTTTTCATGGCCAATAATCTTTTGTATGGAGATGGATACAAAAGAGTTGCTATATAATTTTTCCTTAAGTTATTGTTATCTCTCTACATCTGTAATTCTATCTTAATGATTCACCATGGGAATAACAGCAGCTGCTATTTGAGTATTTCCTCTTTTCTGAGGTCTCAAAATATTTGAAACACATTAAGGAATTCAGACCTCCTGGCCAACAAGCTGGGCAAATATTGTTATCAATGTTTCAGGCAAACAAGGTTGCAAAAAGAAGAAAAAGACCAATTTAAGCTCAGAAATTGAGATCAGGGACAGATCTTTTCTTTACAAGCCCAATTTTCTTCTTGTTACCTGGAAAATACCACCCTTCCCTAGGAAGCCTCCTCTACTAGTTCCCAAGTGTCATGCACTCCATAGGTATTTCAATTTGTAACTTACTTTCTGTATCATCCTCCTTCCTTTCTTCTTCATGTGGCAGGACAACGTCCATTACCCACTTCCCTCCTTTTGTCTCTCCAAGGATGTTTTCCAGCTCCACATCCTGGACAGTACTTCCCTCAGAGGACAGCAATTTATCTAAGCCAAATTTCAGGATTTCACTCAGCTTTATCAAAGAGAAGAGGAAGTTCACTATGAGTATCTTCTATTTCCACATGAATCCCTATGACTCAAGCTTCTCAGACATAAATGAGAAGGTTGTAAATGTGAAGAAATCTAATCCTTTGTATTATCTGTCAAAATACTTGCACTTTAACATGCTCATTTGTCTCAACACCTATTGAGACAGATTCCTGTAATAAATCTCCCTCAAACATACTCACTCAGACTGGAAAGGTCATTTTTCTCTACAGGCCAAACAACAAAAATGGCATCATTCTGACTGCACTCAAGAAGCTTTCTTCATAGCCAAAAAATCTGGGCTTGTTTTTGCCCCACCTCTTAATGAAATAAAATAAAATCTTATATCCCACAAAAATTCACAGGGAACATAATATCAGCATGGAATTTCCTTTGGGCTTAGTTCCACTTCACCCATGGAAATTATAATTGCTGAGGTACATGCTGATGCAGGGGCAGGGAGTGGGAAAAGATACGTTAATTCCAAGCCTTTCCCAGGTTTACCTCCGTAGAGGAGATATATCCCTCCAAATTTCACTTCGCTTGATGTTTTCAACCAAAGCTCTCAGCCCAAAACTCAGCTTTTGGGTCAGAATCATAAATCACACCCTGACTCCTGAGACATTGTATCTGCCAAGAGGTCAACCAAAGGTTGACCAAAGGAACTAGCAGACTAGCAATCAAAAGCTGTCAAAGTACTTATCATTAGCTCTGTTTGAGAGAGAAGGAGTTCCTAGAAACAATGAGTCAGCCTCCACTTTAGACCTGTTATATAATTAAAAAATATACAAGTAAAACAAGAGACATTCTTGCCTTCTCCTCTTCTCCAAGAAAACACTTTTTTTTTTTTTTTTTTTTTTTTTTTTTTTTTTTTTTTTTACACAACAGATGCATCTCAAAACTCTAAAAACTGTCTTCAAATTTCAAATCTTGTCTGGACCTGGAATGCAATGTTGACTCCTACAACGCATGCAAAAGCTGTCACGTCAATGCATATCCTCCCAAACTGAAGTGTCTTGACAGGTTCACGTCAAACAAAAAACAGAGAAACACTCCAACATTTCTAAGAATGTTACAGAAGTCAACTTGAGGGTTTAGCTGCATTTTACCTGTAAATCTGTTGCTTCCTGAGGTTTGTGTACTCCCAAGGCGAACTGTCCTCCCTCTACAATGGCATTTGTCAGTCGAAGCTTGGAAGCAGCTCTTCGGTAGATTATTTCTTCAACTGTATCTCGTCCAATCAAGCGGATAATTTTTACAGGCCTTCAAAAAGTCAAGAAAATTCTTATTATTTTCTTTGTTTGAGGTGCACTAATGTGGTTTTCTGGCACGGCACACTATCCCCTTACCCAATCTTCTGGTAGGGATAAAAAAGCAAGAGCAAAATCAACAAAGACAGCAGAGGGTGGTGACGCACTGAAACAGGTTGCCCAAGGAGGTTGTGGATGCCCCATCCCTGGAGGCATTCAAGGCCAGGCTGGATGTGGCTCTGGGCAGCCTGGTCTGGTGGTTGGCGACCCTGCACATAGCAGGGGGTTGAAACTAGGTGATCATTGTGTCCTTTTCAACCCAGGCCATTCTATGATTCTATGGTAAGTATAAAGCTGAAGCAATTGCTTCTTGACACGGGATCAATGTTCACTGCAAGAGTGCAGGCAATCCTCCAGATTCCATCTCCTCCTCCAAATTTACAAAGCCCCCATCCTAGACATATGACAAGGATAGGACTGTGTAAGGCTGCAGAAGAAAAGCAGAGACAAAATTATCTCTGGTCTCTTACTTTGACCTTCCATCTATCGTCCTCTTCACACCTTTTAACACTATTGCTTATGAATAGGGAAAGAGACACAGAGGGATCAGTAAAGTAAGCAACCTAAAGAGAAGTAGCAACATTTCTCACTTGTGCTGCCCAATCCGGTGAGCTCTTGCTATTGCTTGCAAGTCATTCTGTGGGTTAAAATCACTGTCAGTAAAAATAACTGTATCTGCTGCCGTCAGGTTCATGCCAACTCCTCCTATGAACAGAGAAGAAGATCACAGAATACGTCAGCAGCAGAAAATAAAGGCGCAGCTGGAGAATTTATGCTATGCAAAGTTCTGTCAGATCTGATCAACTATATTCAATTTCTCTCTCAGTCCCAAGTCTGAGTCTCACAAAGATCCAAACAGATGGATAAGCCCAGTATTTCTGTATTTCTCTGTGCTTTCTGCAACAGCTCAAAACAGAACTGCAGTCTGCATTGAAGGGGAACAAAAAAAGAAAAAAAAAGGATGCAAGCAAATCAATAAAAAGGCAATTGGTTGTCAAGACTAATAACATAGACATATTCTTCAACTGTCAGGAAGACTAATGCAGCAAGAACTGGCTTTACTGAGGCTACAAAGGTCTACCCAACCTATGACTTGGCTGAAGCCCAGTAACAACAGGTAAATACACTGTTGAAAGAGTGGGAAACACCACACCCAATCATACAACAGCCAGAGCCTAGGTATATACATGACTTTAAAAGGTTTTAAAATTAGAGTTGGACTCTCATTGAATGAAAGGAAAAAAATGTTAGGTGTTTTTTTTATTTTTTAAATATCCACTATTGTGATGACATACTACAGCTAAAAAGCAACCTGATTCTTGAGGACGTGGACAGGAAGAGTTCAGGCACAGTGTTAAGAGAAGCATCTATTTCTTACACTTAGCATTAGGTGCTTCTGAACAGTCTCAATATACTCCTCTCCATGCCCTGCAATATTATCAAAGCCAGTTTCATTCAGGAAAGTCCGACCAGAAGCCCAAAGGAAGAAGACATAATAAGAGCCTGATGCTTGAGATCAAGCAGTACTGATCCTCTCTCTGAAGGTAAGCAGAAGCCTGCCCTTCTGCTGGTCTTAATAAAGAGACAGGAAGAACTGAAACCATTCAAGAGACACAGACATGCCTGAGGAGCTAAGAGGAGGCGAAGTACAGATGGCACTCCTGTGTTGTTCTTTGCAGTCTCTGCTAAGTAAAAGGCTCTCATCTGAATCTGTCTGCCAGCTAGAGTGCACATCCATGTTCAGGAAGCAATTCTACCAGCTTACTTAGAGAAAGTCTATTTCTGCCTAAAGTCTGAAACTTTAGAAATAAAGTGCTTGCAGAAATAGAATGCTAGTGAGATTCTTTCAGTTTAAGGCAGAGGGAAAGGCATTGTAGAGCTCAGAATAAAAAAGTTACTCAAACAGCTGCAACCTGAAAAGCATCTTGGCATCAGCTGCTGAAATGAAAGCACAGATATTGGGTCTCCTAGCTAAGAAGCCCAAATTCAGGATGCATCTTGTCTCTCTCAAAAATCCTCCATATTAACATAATATGGAGGATTCAGAACACCCTGAAATTTTGCAAGACAGCAAAAGAAGAGTGCAGAAGCAAGACGTGTTGTCTCTCCCTTCCTTCCTTACCTGCTCTGGTGCTCAGCAGGAAGACAAAGATGGGCTGTTGACCAAAGTTCTTAATGGCAAGGTGTCTCTCTTCACCTCTTACAGAACCATCCAGCCGCTCATAGCTATAGCCTTTCCAAACAACAAAATGGATGTTTCTGAAATTTTGGTTATACTCTGTATTTCTTATTTCATTCTTCATAGATTAACTGCTGTCCTGACTTTTTATGCCAAGTCCTCCCACCTTGATTTGCATTTTATCACCTTCAACTCCTCTTTTTCTTTCCAGTGACCCTGACTGTCAACAAAGGTTAGTTTAGCTAAGTCTGAAGCAGAAACTCTTAGCATTTAATTTACTGCACAGAAACAAGATGGGAAAATACAAAGTCAAAGCATATGAACATTAATCCAGAGTCCCATTTCAGACTATACTGTGCTGGCTGTTGGCTCCACACTACAAACCAATAACCACCACATCTTTCTTATAAAAGCTTCTACTGCTTTCAATGTGTACTTTCCTGTGAGCAAGCAGTATGGGAAATGGCCTTACATTTGGCTTTTTAGTGCAACATTAGTTGTCTAAATCCATAAACACCAAAGAAAAGCCTCTTTCATGGGAAGTCCTAAGTAGGCATGGAGCCATGTGGGTTGAAACAAAAGAAAACGTCTCAAGATCCCTTTGGCAGCCTTGCCAAAACAGTCATATTGAGGCCTCACTGCCAACAACTATTTTAATAAAAAACTAATTTCCTGGTATAAATGTGGCACAATTTGTGTTCTGCACTGAACAAACTGAACTGAATCGTAATGGCTTTACTACAGCTACTTCAGGACTCAGGTACATAATATATAATGAAAATTTGCTACCCTGCCATCTGTTAGCTCGATTTTATCAAGGAACCAAAGCTCAAGCTACTTTGAAGAACAACACTGAAGTGCAAGTTCCTTGCAGGCAGGTAGCACAAAGATCCAAACAAAAATTCAAATCCCAAGTTGCAGTCAACTGTAAGCATATGGTTTCTGTCTACTAAGAAGAAACAAATGCCCATCATATTCTCCATCCCAGACAGATCAGCCAAAATCAGACTAACACTATATGGCACTGATCATTAAGATAAGCCCTTTGCTGCCAAACCATGCAGACCATACCTCTATAGTCCATGTAGTCTTGCAGAATGTCAAGCAGTTTAGTCATCTGAGAAAAGAGCAAGACACGATGGCCACTGGAAGAAGAAGATGAGATGTCACCAGCAACACTATACTGTGACAGCATTTCACAAAGAAGTAGAGAGGTTATAGTAGCTCAACCAGCCATTGTTACATTGCAAGAGCTCACCACAACACTGCACTAAGCCTCACAGAGTCACTGCCAACTCCCTCGCATTTTCAGCCCCACATCCAAACGTGGTCAGCCAACCCCACCTGATAGCATCAGCTGCCATGCGTAGAGTATGGAGTCACAAACAGGTAACAAGGCTCTGGCACAACACTGCTGCTGGCTAAATGCACCTTGGCAAGGACCCAGAGAATCCTGGCTAAAAGGATCCTCAGCTTGAATGTAATGCCATGAGGGTCTTCACCACGTGACTTGCCACACTAGATTGATCTCTAACAACATAATATAAAACATCTTAAATACAGGGAAAATGTAGTATCAGCATCTCTGCAACAGAACATAACTTCCCATCCAGCAAATAACCCTCAGTGCCCATATATGATTGCAAGCAGCATTTAAGTGAGAAATCAACTCTCCTTGCTCTAGGCCTCAGACAGTGTGAGAGTACTTTGCTTAAATCAACAACATTTGCAAGTTCAGGAGTCGCACAGGGCTGTCCCTGTGGCAAAGACATCAAAGGGAGAGAGGCATCCACTCACAAAATGCTGTACAGAAGGAAGACAGAGCCCTCCACTACTGCATCAGAACTTCCCTTCTTAAGCTCTGTGCTTTGGAAGTAGTCAGAGGGAAACTGCAGCCCAATTAAGAAAGCAAGTAGAATTTATGAATTGTGCAGGAGACATCAAACAAGAACATATATGAGAATACAAATTGTGATTCGATTCGTCCACCTGAAATCTGTAGGGAGACATTTAAGGCTGTTGTGTTACAGGTTCTGAAGTCACCAGAGGTCAAGATCAGCAGTTTTGAATACTGGTTCTGAAGTGAAAATTTCAGCTTATTCTGAGGCTTTGGTCTTGTCAAATTTCTTTTTCAGGCTCCTGGGCTAATAGAAGCACTGCAGTGCAAAAGACCTGAACTGATGCATTGGAAGCTACTCTCATGAAATTCAATAAAAACATATATATGCTGAAAGCCCTGTCAGATATATATTCTCCCAGATTCCCAGCATAAACTTGGCAATATATGAGAACATGTGAGATGTAGTGAAGTGTTTTGAGAAATGTTTAAAGGGAAGTTACAGTATTTTTTTGAGAGTCCTCTGCAGCCTGTAGTGCAGTTCTTTGTACTGAAATGATCTCCTTGTGGTAGCTAGTAGCATACTTTAAATAGGGCAGTGCTTGTGTTGTGGTATCTGCACAATCTATGGATAAATAAGGCAGCTTTCCTTCTTAGTTTATCTTTTCTCCCTTCCTCATTTCAACACAACATACCCATCATACAAGAATGAAAGGAGTTTATCCAACAAACATAGTTTGCCGCTGGCTTCAACAATGTGATCTCCAATCTCAAAGGGCTCTGGCTCAACACCTGGAAAAGAAAGAGGCTTCAGAAGTATACCTAATTATACAGATATCGACTCAGTGATCAACCTTTAAGTGACCACGTTGCCAAATACTGCCAAGCAGACCCCCAGGATGCTTGTTTGTTTGAAAAAATGATGGTCTTTGTCTAAAAAAACCACCCTCAGTACTTCAGGAAGTACCTCACAAAATGAAATGTTATTTCATTGTTTAGATGAGAGAAGATGCACTTATGACAAATCAAGTGGTGAGCTGAAGTAGAAAACTTAAACTTCACAAGTCCCTACTTTCATCATCACTGATGAACTGTCCTGTGTTGGAACTGGTCACAATTCCAGCTGATGCAATATTGTTTACTACTTGCCCCTACTAAGCAATTATTTAAATTTAAAAAAAAAGCATACAGAAAAAAAAATTCTATTTTGAAAGAGAGAATGTTGTCTTACCATTGAAAAGGTATGGGTGGGCAACACACTTCCGAAGCTGTATTAAGACATTCTGAAGTGTAACCTTCCTTCCTGTTCCACCTTCAAATGCATCTGGAACAAAGTGCACAGAAAAAAGAACTGAGCAGAAAAACCCATGCTTCACCAATGGTGTGACTGAGAATGCATAAGTACTGCTTTGCACTGCTTCAGCATTGAAGTAACTTTTTGCACATCATTTTTGTATTTGATTTTCCATCCCAAGACTAATACACCTGTTTTCGTGAGCCAAATAAAATTTCCCTCACTTTTCTTTTTCTTTTTTTGAGAGAGAGAGCCTTTACTACTTTGCCTTGTCAAAACCTCTGGAATTTTCTCAGCTCCTTGGAAAGAGTCAATGACATTTTTATAAGTGTGTATTATAGATCTAGAAATCAACAAAACTAATTTGTTACAGTTCATTTGAACTTTCCAAGAATAAAACTAAAAGTGTAATACAACACAGTAAAGATCTCCTGGGTAACTAGGAAGTTAAGAAAAGATGCATATTTCTGGGGGCAAAACAAAGACGTGGACATTGCTGACTCTAGAAGAAGATTGAGCTTTCATGGTGATGATGCAAAGCATGGTGGCTTCCTGATGCAGCAGGCATTAGCACTAGAACATAGTTATTGTCCCCCCAAGTTACAGTTTCCCTACAACACAAAAGCACTGACAAACCACCTGTGATATATAGAAATGAAAAAGGAGGATTTCAGAAAACAAAATACATTCTCTTTCATCCCTCTGGATGCTCTGTTACAGTTAATTCATACATGAAGTGCCAAGGAGTGAGCTGTTAGGATAAGGATCTGTGGCTGCCTGTGGTTTCCTAAGGCACTCAAATCTACATCCAGCAGGTTTTAATTTGCTATGTGAGATTTAAACTACTACTGGAAAATTTGTAGACACATAGAATTTCCTGTACAACCTTTTTTGTTTGAACACAAAGAATGGACAGGAGCTGGCTTACTTGTTCACGAGATTTTTAATTACAAGCTGATCCAAAGCAGATTCTTGAAGCTGTCCCTCCTCAGCTCTGAGAGAGACCTGCTCTAGATTCATACATCTCTTCCTCTATCACAGGCTAAAATAATGAATCAAGCAGCCCAAAAATCAACCAGTAGAATTCAAATGCCTCAGTTACCTAGATCTTTTGTCAGAATAGCTTTGTAGTACTTCCTCTGCAGAGCTGACATTCCATGGTACAAAACCACTTCCACCTTTTTTGGAAGGTCTGCAGTCACCTCGGATTTGACTCTTCGAAGCAAAAATGGTTGCAGAAGATTGTGCAATTCTTTGGCTATTCAGAAGCAAGATACAACAAATTATCAATGAAGCATAAGGTATTTATACAGTATCTTTACAACTATACTTTCAAAAATAAATGTATAAAGGAATCTTAATGAAATTATCCTAGCCCAGTTTTACAGAGAAAGCAGAAGAGTTGCACACCTAAAGTACTTAACAGCTACTAACTGTAGCTACTTAACTTAACAGCTACTTAACTAAGATAAATAATCATTACTTATACAATGTGCCTACCTCCAGTCAACATAACAGCTGGTCCTGATTCAATTACAGCATCAGTTGTTACTTACCTGGCTCACTCTCCTTTTCAACTGCTTGGTAATACTCAACAAACTCTTTCACTTGTTTTCTAGGAAAAATATCAGGTTCAATAAAGCTGAGTAAGGAGTACAGTTCTTGGAGGTTGTTCTGGATTGGAGTGCCTGTGAGTAGTAGGCTGAAACCTACTGGGAGCTGAAAGAATCAACAGCAAAACAAAATGATGAGGAGAGAGCATTTGAAATGAAAAGTTACTTAATGTACAGCTCCACCCACTTCCCTCTTATGCTATACCTAAAGATAACAGGTGACATAGAAATGCTTGCAGAATACTGCAAATGCCAGCCAAAACCATATTACATATGGTATGGTGTGACTCTCAAACAGCCCTACCAAACTTAGGCTGGTACTAATGCAAAGAAGACAGCATAAGCAAAATAAGAACAAAATGCAAAAACAAAATTAGAATTCCCAGATCCAATACTGCATACTCACTGTTATGACAGACAACTAGAAAATGCTACTGAAATAGGACAGTGAAATGAAATTGCTAATGATCACATTCCATTTCTACTTTCTGATCTACTCTGACAATCACAGTGACATTATCTGGTCCGTGCTGCATATAGCAATCCCTGGAAAGGGACTTGGGAATAGGGTTACTGTTGAAAAAAAACACAAGTCTTTTCTCAAGAAAATACATCAGGAGAGCTAAGGTGAATCTCTGCTATCTCTTTTCAACTTCAACTGAATCTTCTAAATGATTCCAGAACTGAGCTTTTCAGGAATCTATTTTTTTAATGTACATTTAGACGCATTGCAGCTCATCATTGCTGATGCCAGTCCAGATGTAATGTCCATGTTTTACTGCGGGCACAAGAAGTGCACCCTTTGCAGAGGCATTCATTTCATTCCCAAGAAAGTAAGGACATTTTCTTATCCCAAGGGAAGCTGGAGCAATTCTAGTAATTTCAATAAACAAGGGTGGCTCTATTAAGTGAGACAACGGAAATCAACAGTTCATGACCCAGGGTCCTATAAATTAAGCAAGGATTCCTTCACCCTCCCAGGTCTGGAGATACCCTCTTTGTCACTTTATACAGTGTTACATTGGTCAGATTTCTAACACTTGAGTAATACAGCTGTGCTTCAGTGCTACATTCAGTTTCTTTACATTTTTCAATTTCTCAAATTGCTCCAGTAACTCAAGTACAAACATGAGCCAAAATGAGAGACAAGCTCCAAATACTGCCCAGCTCCACACAAGGCCAGAACAATAGGCCCTTATCACTCTGCCACTAACTATGTGTATCTGTTCAACAATTCTGATGGAAATGATGGAAGCTGGTTGTGGCCCAGGGTTAATAAGAATACAATACAAAGAAATAAACAGAACATCTGTGTCCTATAGTGAGAAGTTTTCATACAGTAAAAGATAGCTGGTATATTTTACCTCAATAAGTGTTTCGTAAAGCAGAGAGTTCTGATTTTTCAGTCTGTGAGCTTCATCTACAACCAAGGCAGCCCAGTCAAAACTGTGAACAAACAACACAGCATCTCCAATTACTTGCAGAGAAATCACTACTGCCAATGCAAAAACACTGAAATAAATGATGGCTTTGTTTGGCTGAACTCAAGAGGTTCCCACTCCATGAACCACAGGCAAGCATCACAAATGTGGTGCAAGAGTGGGAGGAATTCACAAGTACAGGTTTTCAAGAGCCAATACTGCTTCTTAAGTACAGCCTAAAATCAAAACTAAGTACGTTCATTTGAATTTGCTGTTTCTCTCTCCACCTCCGTTTCTGTGGGAAAAATTATGCAAGTACAGGTTAGTCAAACATTCAAGGAGATCTATCATGTGGAAAAAGACATGAAATTAGGCCCTTACACCCATGCAAAAACCCAGCAACGATGACGTGATTGCAGAGGTGTTACAAACCTTTTGCAAATCATCCAAGAGTGGAACTTCAGCTCAGTCCACGCACCATCACATTGTATAGGCTGCAGAATTACTTGCTGCTTACTAGATCCACCAGATTTAATACAAACTCTTTTCAGCACTCAGTACTCATTTCTGCTAACTGTGAGGATTTCAAGTCCCACATTACAGAGTGACTTCCACACAGTTCTGGCTGATGGATAGGCAAATAGGGGAGAGCATGACCCTCCAGCTTTTCTTACCCACACACCTTTCTTCTCAGTGGAATACAAGGGCTAGAATCACATGCATCTATATTTTCCCCATTGCTCTGTTCACATATATCTTAAGTGATATTAAGGACTCTACACTGAAAGATGGTAAAGGAGTCTGATCATAATTGAAAAATACCTTTGGCTCTTGTAAAACGTGGAGTCTTGCACACAGATAAACATACATTTCAGAAATCTCTGACAGACTTGCAGAATTAAATTAAAATAATAATAATAACCTGTACTCACAATTTGAGAAATGCTGCATCTTTCAGACAAATCTGCAGCGAAAGAAAACAAACTGTTACACACAGTTCAAAAGAGAGCATCTTTCTGTCTAATTGCAAACCATGGTGAAATAGTGCAGAATTGGAGTGAAGTCAGTTACCATGGAAAGTAACATAACAGATAATGTAACCACAAGCTTTAGCAACTCTTCAATTTTAATGCTGCTCTGGCAAAGCATCAAAAAAAAAAAAGTCAGAGAATTCATAGAAATTTTCAGACAAGTCTGTAACGTTTGTTCATATCATTCACACTCTCTAAGAAATACCATGCACCTTCAGCATTTACAATCTTTTTGACTCTAAGCAAACACACGCTTCAGTGGATTAATCTGACATGCTAATATCCTAAAGTGCTCACATTATTTGTCCAACTTTGGATTCGAGGAAGAAGAGAAACTGGGTCAATTGGTAAGCCTTAAGAAGCACAGAATTTTATCATCAGAACAACAGAGATGAGAAAAATACTAGCTAAGTCAGTATCTCCGTGTGATTGATTGTTTTGTCGGCATTGCTTTAGCATGAGCACCTCCATTTATCACATTCAGGACAAGGTTTATCACTACACTCCTGCTTGTGCATTGTGGAAAAAGATGCAGGCTCAGAGTGATCGGCACAGGTCATGGCTCCTAGAGGAAGGAAATGGTAAAATACTTGGTAAAGCAAAGGGGCAAAAGGAAAAGGAGATCAAGCAGGGAAAAAAAAAGAAGCTGCAAGAAGCTTTCTCATTTAATTTCAAATTGGTTTGTTTGTTAAGAGGCTGTTAAAATAAAATCAAAGTGCTGATACAAAGTAACACCTGAGTGGAAATGAGTCATAAGACAAAGATGGAAGCTTTTTTCCACTCAACATAACTAAGCACCTGGCCGTGCAGAACCCAAAGCAGTGATCAAGGAAGCAATCCTACTGGTTCTCTGTAAAGCACTGACTGGATCCAGCCCCAGATTCCATCAGTTTTAATATAAACCTCACCATTTTACAGTTCAGTTTTGGCTGAGGAGGGGATGCAAAAGAGGTACAGACACAAGCAAGCTCTTTCAAACTGTTCCTGCAGTGACCAATTAATAGAATCTTAATAAACATCACACATGTACATTTTCCATTAAATACATAAGATCTGTAAGGTAACAGAAAGGCAATGAAAATGCCATGTAGCATCAGTTAAAGATGTTTCTGATTTTGATTTGTTTATTCAAAGTGTGATACAGCTGTGTGGTAAAGCTAGGGTTATATCAGATTATCTTCAGGACACAAAAACTGCAGCAAGTTAGATGAGCAAGATGAGCACTGAGGAACGTTAGAGTACAGCAAGCAAGAGCTGAAGCATAGTGTACAGAGAAATGGAAAAGGCAAGGAAAAACCTGAGCCCTCTTTTCAAGTAGGTACCTCATATGTTGTTAAGAGCACATGGAAGTGAGATTGCTCTTTCAGGTGCTGCTGCAGTTCGGATCGCTCTTCCTTGTTGCCAATGTATGTCACAAAGGAGAGACTTGGAGCAAACCTGTCGTCAAGAGAAAGACAGCAAGAGAAAGATAGCACCTTGTTCTCCTGGAAGCTGGATCTTAGCTCTTGAATCTATCTCCTTCCTGGTTAACTTGCAGCACAGCTTGGCACCTGAGCTGCTGGTTCTGGTTTGGACAAATGCCATATAAATTGGTTTCTCCTAGATCTCAAAGCTCAACACAGATGATGGAAAACTAATCAAATGGTCCTTCTGCTATTCAAAACTGAAAAAGCTCATGAAAAGCAAGTGATTCTCTGGCTGGGAGCAAAGAATTGGTCCAGAGGTAGCTAGTACAGGTAAACAATGTCTGCAGCAAATAGTTCCAAGACAGGGCTCCAAAAATCTAGCCCTCATAGTGAAGGCAGATAAAATCAATTCCATGGAAGAAGAGTTGGAACCATAAAGTTCTTCCTCACTTAATCCCACTACCAATGCCTGCCTATTGTTCCAACATAGCTGTTCATTACTGAAGTTTACCATATTAAGTCATACAAAGATGCACATTTTTCCAGCTATTCCAGCTGCTCATTTATCCAAATTAGGCCAGATCATTTCAAAATCTAACCTCAATAATTTTTGTTTTTGACACAGCATTGCTCAACAACCACACAGAAATACAGCTGTTCTAATCTACAACTTTCAGCCACTCCTCTTAAAAGCAATGTTTGGGCTCAAGCCTAAAAACATACAGATTCTGGGCATAGCAAACGTGCCATCAGCCCAGATACTGTACCACAGTGAATATGGGTTGCATGCATGGATGTAAGGTATTTTAGATGCATGTGTGAGCAGGCCAAAAAACACACTATTCAGCTTGGGTCTTACCTTTCATCATTCAGAATCCTGGCTGTCTTCAGCAGAATTTGCCTAAGAAAGGCTGAGCATGGGGGGTTAGAAAACAACAGCACAAAGCTTGTGGGTGTGTATCTACTGACAGTCATTCAACGCTGTAAGTTGGATGAACACATGGATATCACAGCACTGTATAGGCTATGCATTAACTGCAAGCAGCATATACATCAATTTGTTGTTTTTCAAAGGAAGAAAACTGCTGGACTGAGTATATTTGAAGAGAGTCTTTGTAACTCATCATTCAAGACTATAACGAGTCAGATAGTTGCTTAAACTTACCTCTCCAGTTCCTCCTTCCAGTTGCTCAGAACAGACAGAGGACAAAGAATCAGGGATCTCTCCTTGTTTGTTAATTTTTTTGTCAAATAAAGAAGAAGTGAAATAGTCTAGAAGGCAATGAAAAAAAGTTTTTTTTTTTTATAACAAGAAAATTCCTGAACTTGCATAAACTGTCCCCTTGAGGTTTGTAGCTGATTTCCCACAAATTCTCCAACACAAATCAGAGCTAAGAGAATACCAAAGGAGATCCATCATCAGTGACATAAAAGCTTACATCCTAAAACATTACCTCAACATCTATAGCCCTTTTCCAAAGACATTTCTCCAACAGACACAAAGATCTACCACACATCACTTTCTAAAGCTGCCAGTTCATTATTTAAGACTCGTCTGAAACCAAACCACGATCATCATTCACTCCAACAAAACTGAATCCCATTTAAAAAATAAAATTAAAAAAAAAAACTGAAAAATATCTGTGTGTACTCCACTTTAATTCACATGGAGACAGATAAAAAATCATCTTACTGCAGGTGCATCAAAATGACAGCACTGGCTCCATAACTCGTTAACTAGTTAACATTATTTGTAAACTACTATGAATTACGTATTCATATGTCTGTGTAAAATGATGACTTATATTTTTACAACCTTCCTCAAACTTTTTTGGAGGAGGATTTAGCAGAGGTTTTACATGATTAAGGAACAAAAAGAGCTCTCTCTTATGAGTAAGGACTTCACCATGTGGCTGCTTACATGTTTAGGGGGCTTTTTTCATTCTGTGGGAAGCCTGAGCTAAAAAAGTTAGGCAAAAGTCATTTTTCAGAAGATGACACACCTGACAAGTCTTCCCAAGACCCATCTCGTCACCCAGGATACAGCCATGCTGGACTTGGTAGCACTGTACCAGCCAGTTTACACCATCTAATTGATATGGACGAAGCTTAATGCCTGTGGATAAAAGCAATCTGTTAATATCACATAGCCATTCAATACACTGTATGCACTGTTACAGCTGGAAGCCACCAGAAGCAGGTCTTGCACAGGTCTGACCTTCCAACCAGCTGCATTACAGCAAAAGGAGCCAGGTTTTCAGCAGGAGCAGTTAGGAGCAGAAACACTGCTGTTACAGCAAACCGATTACATCAAACCATATTCAGGAACTTCTATGCGCAAAAATGCCCCCAAGTCATTACAAAGGCCTATATATGGAGTCAAATGTGATACTCAGGCTGCCACTCTGTGTTCCTGACAGACAGCTTGAATTCAGAGGAGATTCAGGTTAGATATCAGGAGGAAGTTTTTCACACAGAGGGTGGTGACACACTGGAACAGGTTGCCCAAGGAGGCTGTGGATGCCCCATCCCTGGAGGCATTCAAGGCCAGGCTGGATGTGGCTCTGGGCAGCCTGGTCTGCTGGTTGGCGACCCTGCACATAGCAGGGGGTTGGAACTAGATGATCTTTGTGGTCCTTTTCAACTCGGGCCATTCTATGATGGCCTGGCCTTGAGTGCCTCCAGGGATGGGGCATCCACAACAGCTCAGCAAACCAAGATACTGCTCTGAGGATCGAACGGAAAAGGCAAAGTGACTGAAAGAGGCAGGAAGGATTGTAAGAAGCAACGAGCCTAAGGCATAACATTTGCTGTGGCAGTGATAGCCGCTGTTGAACAGGCCCGGTGCCACTCGTCGTACCGGCCGCAGGGGAGCACGCGGGATCGGTGCGTATCCCCGGCACCGAGCGCACTGACCTGTCAGCCCCCAGCGGGACAAGTCCTCCTCCTTCACGCCCAGCCCTCCCGCCCGAGCCCTGCCGGCGCGGTGCAGCGCCTGAAAGAAGCGGGACATGGCGGGCAGCGCTCGCCGCGCGGGAAACCTTCCGATCCCGCCCCGCGGGGGGCCGGCAGCGGGCGGGCCGAAGCCGAGCACCGCCCCGCCCGCCATAGCGGATTGCCGGCTCCGGGTTCGGCTGGAAACGACGCGATGGAGCTGGCGTTGCTGTTGGTGCTCGGCGCGCTGCTGCCCGCCGCCGCCGCCCTGTACCTGTGCTGCGTGCGGCGGCACACGGGCAGCGCGGCCGCCACGCTGCACCGTCGGGAGCCGGGCCGAGCCGCAGCCTCTCGCCCGCTGCGGGACGCCGTGAGCGCGGGGTGGGGTGGACGGGGCGGTGGGCTGCGGGGAGCCGCGGGGAGCGGGCCCGGCGCTCACCTATCGCCTCCTCTCTGCAGTGGGCCCCGAGGCTGTGCGGCTTCTGGCTGCGGCTCTTCGTGCACGCGGCTAACACGGTGAGCGGGCGCGGGCACAAGATGTCCGCCGCGGGGGGACGGGACGGAACGGGACGGGACGGGCTGTGCGGGACCCCGCGGGCACGGGGGAATTGGGATCGCTCAGCCCCTCTGACTGGGGCTCTCACAGCTGTCCTCAGCGGGGTTCGGACTGCTTTGGGGTTTGTCTGTGCTCGGAGGGCTGCTGAGGAGGAGGGCTGTGGAGCAGGTGCAGCTGCAGCCGCGCGTGTGGGAGTGTCTGCTTCCCTTTGTGGGGGCTGCTGGTGTCGGTTTCTGTAGTGGCTGGCTTTGGGTCTGCTGTGCTCTGCCTCTCGTTTCGGGGTTGTACGCACTCTTATCTTGCTGTGAGACCTTTCCTGGAGCTGGGAGCGATGTGGGCTTACCTCGTGAGGGGTTTTGTGCATGGCTGTAATGACCGGAACGGCTTTCAGTTCTTTGCTTTGTGGATGTGTCTGGTGTGTGACCCTGGGCTTATTTCCTTTCCTGTCATCCTCCTTAGATGGAGACATAACTAAACGATCTTTAAGGTCCCCTCCAACCTATGCCATTCTGTGATGGCCTGGGCTCCTGCACTTCCAGGGCTTGGGACAGAGTGGCTGGAAAGCTGCGTGGAGGTAAAGGACCTGGGGGTGTTGGTCAGTGCTTGGATGAACATGAGACAGCAGTATGCCCAGGTGGTCTAGAAGGCCAATGGCATCCTGGCTGATATCAGAAACAGTGCATCCAGCAGGAGCTGGGAGGTGATTGTCCCCCATGTTCAGCCCTGATAAAGCCGCATCTCAAGTACTGTGATCAGTTCTGGGCCCCTTGCTACAAGAAAGACATCAAGGCTCCAGAGTGTGTTCAGAGAAAGGCAACAAAGCTGGTGAAGGGTCTGGAGTGCAAGTCTTTTGGGGAGCGGCTGAGGGAGATGGGATTGTTCAGTCTGGAGAAGAGGATGCTCGGGGGAGACCTTATTGTTCACTACAACTACCTGAAGGGAGACTGCAGTGAAGGGGCTTAAGCCTCTTCTCCCATTTAACAGCAATAGGACGAGAGAGAGCGGTCTCAGGTTGCAGCAGGGAAGGTTCAGGTTGGATATTAGGAAATGTCTTATCAGCAAGAGTGGTGAGGCATTGGCACAGGCTGCCCAGGGAGGTGGAGTCGCTGTACCTGGAGATGAGGGTAGATGTGACACTGAGGAACATGTTCTAGAGCAATCACAGGCATGAGTTGATGACTGTACTCAATAATCTAATTGGTCTTTCCAGCTTTTATGATTCTATGACTCCCAATCTCACTCAGGATTTTACTGTTGCATTGCATGTAGGTTAGGAGCAATGCCTTTTCAAATATAAACTAATTCTTACGCAATATGTGAAGCAATATATCACTTCATGTATGTAGGAGTGGGAGCCTTACTTCAGAATCGCGCAGGGAGCTGGGGCTGCACTCCTTTCACGTGTTTTGGAAGCTGATTCTTGGGCTATTATAACAAGCTAGCACAAGGCTGATCTCCCTGGGAACCGTGGTGTACAGAGATTGCTTTTAGCTGCCTGCTACCTACATTTCTCATGCTTTTCCAAGTTGACTCAGTTTACTTCAGGAAAGATGTTAACAGAGAGATAAATGAAATGATAATAAGCTTCTACCTTATCCAATGTTTGCATAATGCTCTGGGCACTGGTGGGAGCTGTGTAGATGCCTCTTAACAGTGCTGCAGCCTGCAACTGCAGGCTTTCTGGAGCTGAGTCAGGGAAGAAAAAATGAATGTTCCTGCAGGATAGCCAGGAGAATACAGTCTTTATGATTCTATAAATGTGCATGAGGTGGGAAAAGCATTTCAGATCAATTCTGTGGCCTGAAATACAAGTGTGTGCTCTGCAGGGTGCTTGGAGACTGCAGCAAATGTGAATGTATTTAGCATTCCTTGTCTCATGAGAAAGATGCCCTCATCAAAGCTATTGCAAATCAATGTTTCTGCTTACCTTCTTCTAGGCTTTTGGACAGATCTTGTTATTGCCGCTCTTACTAAGGTAAGGGGGGAGTTTTATCTCCTCCAAGATTGTTCCCTATTAGAAGTTACCTGAAATGACCTTTTTAAAGAGGGAAGTCTCATAATAATGAAGAGTAAGATTATTTCAGAGTTTGCTTACTAGATTTTTTAACTGCTCTGGTTTTTGTGACCCTTTACTAGAGGAAATTAACCATTTTCCACACTCAAGCAGGCTCATAGAAGGTTGTCTCTTTGCTCTTCAATGCTCTTGCTGAAGAGCAGTCTTTCTTTCAAAGCTTGAGGATGTGAAAATATGCAGTGTTCACCACCAGCAGTGGTGAAATTGTAGTATTGGGAAAATGAGACCAGATACGAAACTCAGAGTTTTTAATGTGCTCTTTTAAAAGAGATTCATCATTTATGAATAACCTTCTGTTGCGCTTATGTTTTTCCTTAGAAACTGAGCTTTCATGTGTGTGTTGCACTATGAAGTGCCAGGAACCTCAAGCTCACTCTTGACATGCATACATTGCCTGCAGTTGGGTGATCACCTGTGCAGATTCCAGCATACTAAACATGCTTGGTTCCCCAGAATTTTTACTTTGGGTATGGGCTTCTTAAGTAAAGGAAACCCAGACAACTATCACAGCTGTTATGCAGAAGGTCATTTCTTAACATCTATGATAGGACCTGGATTTCCTTATTTCATTGCATTACTCCAAGCCCTGAATCTGTGCTGATCCAATTCCCATTACATTTGGTTGCAAACAAACTGTGTTGAGACAGGTCATGGATTAATTCTGAAGAGTTGCCTGCTTTAGCAGGCTTAGTGCTTGAATGTATGGCTTATGTTACTTTCTTCTCTTCTCCTTTCCTGACTTTTTTGGTCTGTGGGTGATATATCTGATTAGAATGAATGGGAAAACTTTTACCAGTTCTTTCCCAGCTTGGGTTTATGGAGGCTGGCTGGCTTTATGTCAAAAGGTGGGAGGCTCTGTTAAGCAAGCGGGATAGATTTGGTGCTGCCTTCAGCAAGGCTTTAGAAAGGTGTGAAAGATTATTTTGTAACTGTTGCAACTCCCTGCTGTGGGAGCAGACTGCTACAACAAAATGTTCTTGGGTAAAATTCACTTGCAACAGTATGGAAAAATTAGTCATGGAGGAGCTTGCATCTTCTAGCACTCTTTCTCTCTTGCAGGCTGAACAACTTCTCCCTCATGCGTTCTCTTGACATTCATGAAGATCCCACGTTTATCCCAGAGGTTGCTGCAGAGGTTACGGAAGACAAATCTGAGACTGAAAGCACTTTGGATATCATCAAGCAGCTGATAGATACAAGGTAAATGTGGGTTGGTTAAGAGTGGAAGAACTCGCAACAGGCTTCACGGTATTAGGAAGAAACAGTGATTGTGAGTCATCTGGATTAAAATCTCTTTCCATGACCACAGAATTTGACAAAACAAATAGTGCTGTCAGATCTCTCCTTTTGTAATTCATAAATTACGAGTAGTTAACATGCAGTATTAACTAGCTAGCTAGCTTCAGGCAGACTGCTTTGCTCTGGTTGCACTATTAAAGTAGATACACTTAGTGGCTGGCTACTTGATGCATACGTCCCTTACGTGCATTTACAGGTGTGCTGTTTCTTACCTGCAATGTATTTCAAAGAGAAAACAGATTGCTGGGAGGAGAGAAGAAACTAAGGTACAAAGCAAACAGTTCACAAGAAATCAGGTTTTGTTACTTAGGTTGCTTGGAGAATGGATTATTTAGTTTCTTAATTGCAGCCTGTGCTTGATTAAACCCCATCACATTAGGGATGAAATGTTACCAGGACATCCCATTTCTATCCAGAATCTGATGCTGAGGTGAAGGCAGCAGGACTGCTATGAATGCTTTCCCCATCTGGTTTTGTTCTTAGCTGTGGGTCTGTCTAATAGTTACTGAAGATGTCTGTGTGCTTTACCAGTGTCTCAGGGAGTAGGTTCTTTGCATATGTCTGAGTTTTTAGCAAGACAAAGTTTGTTTCCTGCTTGAGTTGTTAAGTTAGAGCAAGGGAAATCATTCGGTTCCTTCATTGTAGAGGGAAGGATATGTTTCCTGCAGGCATTGGTCAAGGTGAGTGCAGTCTTCTGGTTCTTATGTCCTCAGCTCTAACAATGGTATATTGAGTACTACAGGGCAGGATACTTGAATCTAACCTCTTCCCTGCGGAGCGCATGATGAGAGCCATGCACTGTCCTGGTCCAGGGTATGGCTTCTGAGTTGGGTGATCATATGGGGAAACTACAGGAATAGTAATTGTAGCCAGTTGTTTTAATCATTCTGTGTTCGTCAAACTGTGATGAGAAATGGATCTATTTGTCGAAAGTCAGAGCTACTGACTTAGTTTTTAAGCAGTTTGATGTGAATTCCAATGTGTGCTGCATAGCAACTCTTCCCAATCCCACACCAGACACTGGATGTGCTGCTGGCTATGTTGCCAATGGACAGACTCAGCACCAAGGTCAGAGATACCATCTTAAAGAAGCGTGTTTATCTTTATTTACGTTTAAAGGTGAAATGATACAAGAATAAAACAGAACATGTAATGCACCTAACCATTACTACATAAGATTGACTGCAGTGATGAAGAACTAGAGTGATTGAGAAAGATGCATCGTCAGTTGCCTTAATACTTTACCATCATCCAGATCCACAGTTGCTGGGGAGCCCTGTTTGTAGCGAGGATTTGGAGAGCCTTTCCCAGCAACTGGGAGGTCCTACACTGTGTGTCCACTTGTAGATGAGATCTCCAACCTTGCTGCAAGAGGGTCCAGCTTTTATATTGTTGAATAAGCACATTTATATGACAGTTAGGCGGAAACATCTGGTTTCATTCTCCCTTTTTGGATTCCATCTCAAGGCTGGCCAGGGCTCAAGGAGAAACCAAGGAAGTTTGTGTACTAGTAAACTTTGACACTATGCTTCTAAAGAAGGAAAGGTTAATACATTCTCATAATGCTTTATCTAAGCTACATCTCTTGCTAATGAGACATTTTGTTCAAGATGCATGTTTTGCTAATGGTTGGATACTGATGATATGTAACTCTGGGTTGTGAGATTCATCTAGAGGTCAACTTTGGTTGAAGGCCTGCTGTTCAGGCCTTAATACTTCACTGTCTCCGAATCAAACTTGGGATAGAGGTCTTGGAAGCAGGTTTATGGGTATATTCTAGCTATTCTGTTATGCTCCAGTGGTGAATAGCAAATATAAACCTGGAATAAATTTTGAAGAGTCTAAGGACTGCTTTATTGCAGTAGAAATGTGAAACAACTAAAACGTATCAACAAGTCTGACCACTTATTGCTGTGGCACCTTTAATGTACTGTGTGTATTGAATGTGTGCAAGAAGTGTGAACTAAAATGCTTAGGCTTGCAGTCCCAACAATGACCTGGGAGTGAGCAATTCCCAGCCTGCATTGAACAGAAAGTCTGAACAGAGGTGACCTTGACATTTCAAAGTTCCCCTTTCAATCCTTTCTTCGCAGGCCTGATTCTGCCAGCCATGGGTTTAGCTTCAAAGGGATCAAAGACTATCTGGACTGCTACCGGTGAGTGAAATTATAGCCTGGGAGCAACTTGTCTCTCATGTTCCCCAGCTGCGAGCTGCTGCTGTTCCACAAGCTCTCAGGCGTCTCCTTGTTAGAATTGTCCTTGAGGTACCACTCTTTAGTGTAATTCTTTGCAGTCCTTTCCCTCAGATAGAATAACGAAGAAAAGCCAACAGGGGAGTTGGCATAGCTCTTAAAAAGCCTGCAAGGTTATTCAAATACTGTTTGTCTTGGCCATCTATATCTGGGAGAGATTTCTACATACCTTGATGCCCAAATGAGTGAGGAGGTGAGAAAGGTTCATATGGATGAAGCAAGTTGCACATACTGTAGACCTCTGCAGAGCCCCTTAATTCCCTAGCTGCTTGTGTTCTTGAGAACAGCGTGACTGGTTTTACCCAGTCAACGTGCCCAGCTCAGAAGGAGCTGGAAGTGTATCACTGACTCCGAGGTTCTGTAACCTGTTGGCTGCTGGGTAACTCATGGCTGCCTTTGGAATGAGTGCCATAACTGGAGCACATAAATAAATCCTGCCGTGTTCCTGACATGTGTTCCACAGGGGTCACCCCTTTCAGTGAGCTGTGACGCTGGAGCAAATGGCTGGCACTGCAGTGTGGTGTTATAGATCCATTCTAACTAGGCTTTTGTGCCAGCCAGAGGCAGATCTGGCCTCTTCTTTTAGCTCACAGTACTGGCAGTTTCATAGCCTTAGGCTTTCTGAAGCTTGAGGGCGATCTGTAAATGCTGTCAGCTTTCTTGCCCTATTTTTCCTAGTTTCAGGAATATCTGGGTAAGTCTCCTGTCTCCTGCTCCTACTCTGAGGGCTGGGAGAGTGCTGTGTAGGCAAGTACTCCTTTAGGGAAGGATATCTCCTGTCCTGATGCAATCATATGGAAATCATCACCACACACATATTATCACATATTTAATGATTACAACTGTGACAGCTGCCTTCTTGCTACATAATAGACAAACCCTTTGCATGGATATGGTGTGTGGAGGGTCTTATAATGAGGTCCCAACTTTTGTCCTGTAGGAGTGGGAAGCTGACGCCATCTCAAGTAGCAAAGAACATCATTGCTGTGCTGGAGGACTGCGACAAATCCACAACCCCACTCAGAGCAATAGTGCAATGGGACCGGGAGCAAATAATGCTGGTAATGTCTGTTAGGAAAGAAGCCTCTGCCACCACAAGAGCAGTAGGAAGGGCAGAGGTTCTTCTGATCTGTTTCACAGAAAAATATGTACATTTTTGCTTCTTTCTGTAAAGGACTACAGAAAGTTTGCTTCCTTTCCTGCAAAAAGAGGGAGCATTAAGGCGATTTGTTTCCTACTGGACAACTGTTTTTCTATTTTTAAACCAGAATTTTTGTGCTTATGTGGCATCTGTCAGCATGGATTCTTCCAAGCAGTATTTTCCCACCAGCATACAGTGGAAAAAGAAAACTTATGTAGTTCAGCTTGTCAGAAACCTGGCAAAGCTATCTGTGGTATTTGTTATTAAACCTGTAATGACTTGCAGTTCAACTCTGTCATATACATTTTCTTTCTCTGTGTAGATGGCCGAGGCCTCCACTGCTCGTTACAGGAATAAATGTCCCCTGTCTTACCTGGATGGCATCCCAGTGTGCCTGAAAGAAGAGTTCAAAGTGGTGAGTTTCCTTGTCTAGCTGTCAGCTCATGCTGTAAGAGATCAAGCAGGAGAGCTTATTGCAACAAGTTTTTAAAGCCATCTCTTCAGCAGAAACCTGTATTTGTAATATAAGAGGTAGATGAGCATAGTAAACAGGATTAACAAGTTTTGCCAAGTGAAGACAGATCCTGAGTATGACAGACGTTTTCCTTATCTTGTACAAATCTCTGTATTCCATGTGGAGTAGAGAGTGGTGGTGGGAAGCAGTCCCTCTTCTGATGAAATGAGTGTGTTCAAAAGCATCTGTAGCAGTGGGCGTAACTGCCTGGGCTTCTCTGGCACTGATTCTAGCATAGCCTCCATCTCTCGTTGCCATAAAGGACATACTTATAGCAGAAATATGAAAGTTACACTGAAAGTCTCCACCCACGGTGGGCTTTGCCTGGCAACTATTAAATACTCCTGGCAGTGCCATTAAACTGTCATGGACTCTGGAGAGACCTATCGCTTAATTGTCAGGGAGAGTACTTAGCACACCCTGAAGTTGAGTCCATCTGGTATTTTGGCATCCATGTAATCTCAGTGCCTTGCTTCAAAGCACTGCAGTTTTGAAACATTGCAGCTCCTTCCACAAAAAGTGGAAAATAGAGCTCCTGCGTGCTGTGGGGGCAGGGTTCACTGTTCTGTGTCCTGTGAGCATAGCAATTACATTGCTGTAGAGAGATGGACTTTTCTGTCCATCTGTTTGTCTCTGCTCCTCTGTATTGTAGTATTAAAGGGACTCCTTTGCACATGAGAATGACCCAACAGTGAAGAGTTAAGGATCTCTTATAACCGGAAATGACACAGGACAAGATGAAGAGCAAGGCTTCCTGGTCCTGACTTAACTCAGTGGGTTCTAATGTCTGGAATTGGTTGTGGAGTTGAAATGTGCACGTGAAGTACACGCTAGTGCCTGCCCACCTTTCTGGGGTTTTATGATGAATAATGAGGTGTTTTCTTGCTAAGGTACCCTACTATCACCGAGTAGGAACAGTGTACCTTGGAACAGAGCCTGAAACAGAAGATGCCACTGTGGCCAAGAAGCTGCGAGAGGCTGGAGCTGTGATTATTGGGGTCTCAAACATGCATGAACTAGGGACTGGAACAACTGGATGCAACCCTAATAGGTAAAAATCCCCTCCTTCTCTCTGCTCTAGGCTCTAGAAAGACCTACAAGTCTGTCCAGAACTGACAGGGAAGGGTACAAAAATAGGGCAAGCATGAAAGAGTAAAACTGACTGAAACACCTCATGCACGGAGAACCATGTGGATCTGAAAACCTAGCACTGAAGATTTGAGGCTCAGAGTAGCTGTGGAAGCCTGAAGACTCCTGAAACCAAAGGCAGGAGAGGATCCAAGTCGTTCTGGGTAAAGAGTTGGCTTTGCATGGCCTTATGTGACTTTGAAGGTATGAATCATAGATGTTTACAGGATGAACCGTAGACAGAAACAATGACAGAAAACAATAGAGACCTCATGCACAGTCACAAAAATGGCCAAGAACTATGAGAAAAGGTACAATCAGCTTAAGAGAAACTTACTGTTTTAATTTCCTAACTAAAACAAGCTCTCTGTAATTTGCTTTACTTTTGTGAATTTTCCAGCTATAGCAGGCTGAGAAGTGCTCTGTCAGAGCAATGGTTCTCACAGCTCTTGTAAGCTGTCTGCAGATCCACACTTTATCAATGTGCAGCTGGATGGAAGTGGGGCTCTCCCACAGCTACAACAAAATGCATGAGCATTTTCTCCCTGTGTGTGGTCTGCTGCCCCAGCTGGATACCCAGCCACTGGGCAGGACTCTGGTGCCTCAGGACTGTGGTCAGACTGAAGATTTTTGGAATAAAAGGCAGAGCTGGGAACACCAACTTGCTTGTGGTTCTGTAAGAACTGGTGGTCAATGACTGCTCCATGTTCTGGCATTACATAATGCACTGTGGTATGCAGTAATGGAACAATGTAGTCACAACCAGAAGAGGTGGAACAGCATCTTTTCTGTTGCTTTGAATCTCTTCCTTTTGTATAGGCTGCTAATGATATTGATTGCACTCTGAGCCAGAATTATTTTTCTGTCTCATTTTGTAGGGACATAGCACTACCTGGGTTTCTTTACTGGTATTTCTCTACTAAGAGATTTGAATCCCTGAGCTATGTTTCTGGATCTTTTTCTGCCCTGTAGTATACTCAGTGCTTCCTAGGAAATGTTTCACCACTATTTGTCTGCCCCAGGTACCACAAGATCCCTAGGAATCCCTACAAGCCCAACCATTTCACAGGTGGGAGCTCCAGTGGGTCGGCAGCAGCTGTAGCAGCAGGTAGGTGTTTCTAAACTGAGCCAGAGGGTGGTGGGAGGCAAGTCCAGAATATCAGGTGTTTAGATTTCATGAAGGGGTTAGAAGCTGGAGGGAAAGTCCTAGATAAACAGAGAGCTCTGTCTGCTGTCGTGGCTACAGGTGGTGGTAGAATGGAAGGGGCATAACATTTGTCTCTCTGATCACAGGCCAATGCTTGTTTTGTTTTTGTAGGTCTCTGCCCCGTGGCTATTGGCACAGATGGAGGCGGCTCTGTGAGGATTCCTTCTTCATTCTGTGGTGTGGTGGGGCTGAAAGGTAGTGCCCTTTAATCTTGGTGGGTGTGTATGTCTTCTTTACTGTATCAGGGTGCCACAAACAAGACAGGCCCAATCTATTAATTCTTGCTATTTAAAATTCAACCAGAGAAACTCTGGAGCAGAGCATTCTGAGAGTCACATGGGTTAGACTGGCAAAGTGACAGTAGTCTCTGTACTGACCATGGAACAGACATTAAGGAAAAACTAACTTCTGTACATTTATCAAATGCTAAGCAAAACTTGCATGCTGCTTTTCTTTCTATCCTCTCATCCTTCTTGTTTTCCTCTCCTGGGAGATGTTAACAATGTAGTTGGGTATCTGTAGTGAGCTAGTGCAAAGCAGCTCCATTTATGATGGATTCCCATTATCCCAATTATATGGAGAGGTTGCTGCTCAGATTTGTGCCTAGTAAATTAGACGTGGTAATAGGCTTGTAGCAAACCAGCATGTAGCCATTCCCCCTTATCTCAGATGTACAAAAGTAGCAGTGCAGTTTTTACAGTAACAATTAACTCATTAAAGGGAATGGATCAAGGACATAAGAAATGCACAGGACATTGTCTACAGTGTGGTAGGTGGCAAAGCAGGTGAAGCCATCATCACTCAGAAGAGAAGCTGATTTTTTGGAATGGTTTAGCATTCTGAAAGATCTCAGTTGCTCTGTGTGACCAGATACTCAACCATTACCCTGTTTTATTATCTTTCACACGTGGCCAGCTCTGTTATAATTCATCTGAGGAAGGTAACAATGATGACTAATGTGTGACTGGTCAGAAAATTGATAAGAACTTTGTTGCAGAGTACAGTCAGTGCTAGGCATGAAGTCTCACTGGTGAAGAGGTTGAAATCTTGCAGAGCATGGCATCTCTTCCTGTTGACAATTCTGCCTCTGCAAAAAAGAGTATTGAAAGATTGGAGCTCTGAAACAGTGGGTCTAAAAGTGGCTGGATTGGGTGCATTACTTGCTGTCTCATCTGGGTGGACCAGGGTCTTACCAGTGAGTGCTCGTGTGTAGCTAACTGACCATTTCTTTTTCTCAAGGTACGTTTGGGCGGATCAGCGGTCATGGCAGCCTCCCACTCTCTTATTCCACAGTCAGCGTAGGTAAGAGAACTTGTGCTCCTTTTCTGGGACCTCCCTGTATGTTGCCACTGGGGAGGCAATCTGGGCCTACAAAAGAAGGATGCTGTTTACTCCTTGCCATGTTTTCATAACCACTGTCTCTTTTACAGGTCCTATCTGTACCTCAGTGGCAGATGCAGCCATTGTTTACAGTATTCTTGCTGAGCCAGATCCGCTCTATCCATATGGTAGGTGAGCCCACTCCCTCCCTGAAGCCAAGTGCTCTGCCTTCCTATGGGCATCCTAGATAAACAGAGGAACTCTTGTTTGTTCCCTGCAGGACTAAAGCAACCCAAAGCAACCCTGTCAGATATGTGTGCTCCTGACCTGAAAGGCTTAAAACTGGGAGTGGATTGGACGTTTTTTAAGGTGACTATTCTATCTCTTTCTTCCTGATGCTTTGCAGAATGAAGTTTTGTAGGAATTCAGTTCATTCAGTGTTCTCTTGCCTTTCATCGTTCTTATATTTAGTCCTATAATTGGAGGGAAATATAGGGTGAATGCACCCACTGAGATGACGTTTTCCTAAGGCAACCTTTTGAGTAGAAGCCTGTTGTAGGTAGGAAGAAAGGTAATGACTACATTTCATGGCAGTATGCTTTCTCATAGCACTGTTTCTATGTAAGTGATGCTTCTGAATTGATTCCAAAAGGGAATTAGTTTAAAAACAAATTAGGAAAATTACCATATCTGTTTGGTGACAGTGGAGTAGATACTGAATAGTATTTTATCATCTCCACGTAGAAACTGGTCACACAAGTTAATACTGCTTGGCAGTTGTAATACAGCTCCGCAAACATGCCCAGGATTTCTTCTCTTTGAGAAAAATAAGTTTGTTTTTGGCTTTGTCCCAGTGCAGAGAAATGTCCTCTCCTCTGGAAAAGGAGACTGTTCTTTTTCCATAGGGGGATGCCCTGCAAGTTATTCTCTTGGAACAGATGGACTAAGGCAGTTCAGGGGGGCTGTTTCCTTGCCATTAGAGACAGGAGTAAGGAAAACCTGAGGACCGAAGTTCTGTGAGCATGCTCACCAAGAAGAGGAAAGTTGTTACCCACATCTGCTCAGTTCTTTCCTCTTGTTCTCTAGGCATGTGATGCAGAAATCCTGTCCGTCTGTGAGAAAGGTAAAGAGCAAATGTTTCCAAGTCTCTTAATTTGCCTAAAGTCATAGTGTCACTTGGTATTTCCTCTCGCGGATGCATTAATGAGATCTGGCCTGCTGTCCTTAAAGGCAGATGCTTAAAGAAGTCTGACTGGACAGGCAGCAGTAGCTTCGTACGAGGGAAGCCCTCCTGACTGCTGAGGGTTAAAAAGCTCAGCAGTTGCAGGCTTGTCAGGTTACAATGGAAGAATACAGTTCAGTGTGCTAAGCTTCTGTCTGTATAAAGACAGATCTGTGCACAGTAATAGTTACTCTGCAAGCTTTAAGGGTAAAAGACTTCTAAGGGAGGGACTTGTTTCACAAGGTTACATTCAGTGGGGAAGACAGCTAGGATTTTATGATGTATTTAGTCCTCTGATGTTTCCTTGAAATCAGCAAAATGCTGCCTTTGGGGTGGCTTTGTGAGATTTTAGACTGAGCAAAATTGAACATAGTGAGTTGGGGGAGAGACTGCAGTGCCTTGCATAATAGATGGCCTCTTGCGCACTGGAGCTGAGATAGCTCACAGTACTCAGGCTTTGTTTGCCTGAGTTCTCTTCAGCCTCCTTATTTCCATCTCTTAAACCTCATGCTTCCACATGTGTAGAGTTTTCTTAGGAGAGATGTACCGCAAATGTGGGGATTTTTGAAGATGCTGGAGTCAAAGAAAGAAGAGAGTTCTTTTTAATCTGCAGAAGATTCACTTTTTAGCAAAGTCCTGGTGTCTGACCTTGTTAAAGTGCATCAGGGTTTGTTGAACCTGTATTGTTGACCTGATCTTTGAGTATGCACAGCTTTCCTCTATCATTATAGTTCAGAAGAGGCTTCGAATGGTTTCTCCTGACGCTAAATAACTGCTTCATGCTGATTGAATGCCAATCACATCAAGTTCTCAGCAGAGCATTATCATACTACCTTTACTGTCTGGGTTAACTGAAGGCTAAAGGGAGAAGGTGAACTTGCCCAAAATGTAGTTAGTTATTTAAGAATCTGTTCACAAGCCACTACCTCTGCCCTGCTGGAGCACTGAGATCTAGTTGGGCCAAAGATTTTTACCTATGAGAAGAGGTGGCAGCAGTCTGCATGCCATGTTATGCACTAAAAATTCTGCCTTGTAATGGCAAATGGGGTCTCTGACTTTGCAAGGGGAAGCATTTTCTCAGCCCCTCAGTGAATTTTGGGGAGAAAACTCACAAGCTGTCTGTGCATTACATGTTCTGCACTCAGCTGTGGAGTACCTGCAGAATTTGGGAGCCAGCGTGGTTGAAGTATCTCTTCCAGAGATGGAGGAAGTGAAAATAGCCCATGCGATCTGCATTCTCAGTGAGATGAGGGACTTCCTGCAGCCTGACTTCAACAAACATTTCCAGGAAATGGTAAGTAATAGCTCCTTGGACCAGTGGCAGTAGTTGTCGTGGCTGATGCAGAATAAGTGTCTTGCACTGTTGGGAAACCCAGGGCCCTCCTGCTTTCTCAATGAAAAACCACCTGCTGGATGACTTCTGATATCAGAGAGTAGACCTGGAAGAGAACTCCTGGGCTATTGCACTCAGTTTCTTGCTATTGTTGACTGAGCACATCTGGGCCCCTTCAAATTGATATGTGCAAGGTGAGACTCTTCCAGTCAGCATGGAAGGCTGTTAAAGCATGCAGAGGTCTGCACTACAGCTCCTAGGGAGACACTTAGGCATGATGGCAGGCTGATGAAGGTGGGAAAGGTGGTGGGGAAAGAGAGTCGGGAAGCTGCTGTCTTACTTCATGCTTACCTAAGGCTAGAATATATGATTAACAAGCCTGGTGCAAGGAGAGCTGTGACTATTTTCTCTTTCAGAATTTGGAGACTCGGGCTAGCCTGGCTTTGGGTTCCCAGTTCACCGCTCTGGATTATATTACGGTGAGAACATACTGTCATGAAGGCTGAAGGGGAGGCAATGAAATTGCAGAAGTGGGATAGATGTTTCTCTTAAGCTCTCTGTACACATGGGAAGGCAGCACTCAGCTGTGGGGAAAAAAAGGGAATGATTTTTGCAGCAAGGGTGGGCAAAATGGTGGGGCATCGCCGAGAATGTGACACCTGGGCTGATGTACTGCATGTTGATTCCAAAATGCAGCAAGTGTTCTTTTTTGCAAAGAGATGGGCTCATGTGGGCAGAGGCAGTTGCCTTTGGAGATGAGCCTCATGAACCAAGACAGCCTAGTCAGACAATCTCTCTGCTTGCAGGCAAATCGACAGAGAACTCGCAGCATGAGGTTTTTGCGAGAGATCTTCACCACTGTGAACTGCATACTTACACCAGGTATTGGCAGTCTTGGCCAATGAGCTGCTCCCCGTTGAGAACAGTCACTCCATTAGCTCTTCCTCTCCAGTTTAAAGGGTGTAACTTTTGTGCAAGGACTTCTTCGTGCCTCGTAGCTCTGATAGAAAATGGGGCCTGGTTAGAATGACTGCTGTGTATTTCTATGCTTGCTGCCTGTATCTAAGGCAGTCACAAAACTCCCTTCGGGTTTTTGGAACAGAAGGTGCAGAGTCAGCAGTTACACAGGAGAGACAAGACATCTACCTACATACATAGAAATAGAAAACTGACTGCTAAATTCATAAATCCCAGCGACTTGATTGTGTTCTGGGGGGAAGGAGTTTGCATTAGTAATTTAGATGAAAAATGGCATTAAGGAACTGTACTGTTTCTTGGTGACTGCCTGCAAACTGACTCTTTCTTTGCTCTTCAAGCACCAGATTAGGTTGCCCAGTAAAGCTGTAGAACCTTCATCCTCAACGCTGACCCTCCTTGAGCTGGAGGGTTGGACACGATGACTTCTAGAGTTCCCTTCCAACCATTCTGTGATTCCTCCACAGCTACTGCTTCCACTGCCCCGAGAATCCACGAATCTGACCTCCTGACTGGGAGCAGCAATATTTCATTCACAATGATGTCTATGAGGTAAGATTTGCTGCTTGCACTTCACAAACAAAAAAATTGGGCAACAGCTGTAGACTAGGTGTACAAACTCAAAGAGTTCAGACTGTAGAGTAGGGGAAGATCAATCCTAGCTGCTTCTCTTCCAGAATAGGCTGACTTTGCTTCTGCCCCAGGGCAGGAGTGCTGATGACAGCTCTTCCCCCAGGTTCATGCAGCTTGGTAACTTCACTGGGATTCCAGGCCTCGTTGTTCCTATTGGTTATTCTACTGCTGGGCTTCCAATTGGCTTCCAGGTAAGCAGTGGCTGTTGTGAATGTTGGGTCACAAAATCCCCAGCTGGCTCTGCCCTGAACCCCTATAACCAAGTTATTGGTTGCAGCATACTTGAGGAGTTGCCAGGTACTATTAAGGAATTTTTAACTTCTCGGTGAGGAGATTTGCCTCAAAGAGTAACTCACTTCTGAATGCCAGATGGACTCTTCAGGCATCTGGAGATAGGTTTCTCCTTGCCCACTGGTATCAGTACCCATTATTTGTCACTGACACTTTACCAAACTCAGACATAAGGAAAAGAGAGTAATTTAGGTTCTTTGTTACTCTTTCCCTCTTAAAATAGGTCTAATGTAATTTGAAGTATGTTTTAATAAAGTCACTGAGCTCCCTTTTTCCCAAATAGAGCCGTGCCATACTTGCTAGGGTAAAAGGGAGAAGCATGTGTCGTCTTGGTGCTGCTGGGAAGTAATTTTGGCCATGTTTTCCTGGGCTTTAAGCACTGTATGTGACGATGTTACTTTTTTTTTTTTCTCTTTTTTCTGTCTCCCTCTTCTTGCAGGTCATGGCGAAGTGGTGGGATGAAGCTGTTCTTCTGAGGATTGGCCTGAAGCTAGAGCAGTTTCGTCGCCAGACCAAAAAACCAACCATTCATTATGACATCCTTGAATGATTAAGATGGGGAATGAGTCTTTTTTTTCCTGTTGTCTGACCTGGCCAAATACTAGAGTGGACTTGTTTTCAGTGTTTAACTGAATGAGGTTTAGCAGCAGACCCATGGGAGAAATGAGGAGAAACACTTTTCAAAGCAGGTGTTGCTGCTTAGCAGACATCAGTTCTGCTCTCTGTTCATTCTTGGATGGTCCAGCTCATAGTGAGGAGACCAACTGTTCTAGCTTGTTCCTCACTGTGTTTCTGCCAACAGGGGAACCTGCAAGTATCTTCTGCAACCTTTTTCCACGTCAGGGTCCCATGTAAAGATGGGAAACAGCTGCGGCTACACGGCTGTGTGTAGAAAGCCAGACTCTAAACCTTAAACCTCTCCTCCTGCTGCTGAATTAAACAAGGGTACTGTTTTGAGAGAGAGTGGGACAGTTTCCCTTGAAATAGCATGCCTAACTTCCATAGAATAAGGAAGATCCTAACACATCTGCACTAATGGAAGAGTGTGTTAAGCCCCTTAGTTAAGATAGTCTCTCATGGCAAAATGGAAGGCATGTAGGTATGGAAATATTACTGTTTTTCTCCCTTGTGCTGCAAGCAGTGTAAAGTCAGTCTGACTTGTCCAGAGGATGAATGTGTTCACTGCATGAGCAGTCTTACCCACCTACAACCTTACATGCAAGGGGAGGAAAACTCAGAGCATGACCATTGATCAATTCTGTGACCTGAAGCCTTTGTTTAGGGGTTTGGGCCCTCTGTTGCATTGTTGATAAACATCTGCTTTCCCTGAGCTTTGAGAGCCTCTTCTTTCCCACTAGTTGCCTAAGCAATAAGTCTTCTACCATATAGGAGTCCCAGCGGAAGACACTATCTGGTAATGCCATAAAATAGCTCTTCAAGAGCCAGCTATTTTGAGCAGGTGCAATTTGTGTTACTGAGCTGCCACAAGATTAGACCCTGGGTGCAGGAAACGAGTTGCATGAAGCCACAGTGCAGCACAGAGCCAACCTCCTTTTGTCACAGATGCCTGATTACTTCTGGAAGTAATCAAGGGAAAAAAAAAAAAATGAGCATGTGTTACATAAAGTAACACATCACAGCAAGAACAGCTGGAGAAGGCTCTACTTGTACAGGAGCAGGCCCTAAAGTCACACTACTGTTGCAGTGAAAGTCCCCATCTTGTGTCTTGCTTGCACCACTGTAGCCACATTAAAGATTAGAGAAGACCTAAGAGTATTCCAAAATGAACCTAAATGCTTAGCTTTAGTTAGCTCATGGTTAATGCTTAGATGTGTCTTGTTTCCCACCTCACCAACTATCGAAGAGAAATTGGGCTTCTGATTTGGCTGTGGGAGAAGCTGTGTTAGTAAGAATTCAGTATTTTGTTCCCATCTCTTAGCTAGGAAGGAAAGAAGGAACTGAAAGTAGCTGCAGTTTATCCCGAACTCAGTACAGTTGGTTTTGTTTTTAATTATACATATCCATTCTTAAAACAGAGGTAGCACTTTACTAATGCTTAAAGGTTTCAGTCAAATAGTATCTGAATGGAAGAATGCTGTACTACCCTCTTTATAAATACTTGAGTTAAAGCATCAAGATCAGCTGCTACTAGCATCCACAGTTAATTAATGATGGTTGATCGTGTCTTTCATCTTCAAATCCTTTATGATACTGCCATAAACATTACTTCATTAGATTCTATTGCAGTTCAACTTTATGAAGAACAGATTATTAAAAGAAAAAATATTTCCTCTACTATTAATAACTTTTTTAATACTCAAAATAGCTAAAACGCTGCCAAAATGCTGGTAAGTCTGACAAGAATAAATTTCTTCAGGAACACCTCTGATTGAAGGACTGAATGCACTCTAGTGCAATTACTCAAGGTAGTAGAGATGGCAATATAAAAGTGATACCATCTTTCTAGATTTGGCTATTTCAAATCCTTTTTAAGTGATACACTGCCTTAAAATTGTTATTTCAAGATTTAGTTCATTCTCTGGGTGGAGTTGGCAACCTCATGTTACTATGAAGAGGAATAGGGGCTAAAGCAAAGAAGGGTTTACTTAGAATACATACTTGTATGCTGCTACTCCTGGAAAGGGAACTGAAAGCTTTTGCTGATCAACAGCAAAGTACTCAGCACACTGTTTCTTCCCCTTCCCTAAATTGCTATAGGGGTAGTGCACTTCCAGTGCCTATCTTCTTCCCTGGTGCTGAGGCTTCCAGATGAACTGCCCATACTGCTGAAAGCCCCATTTTATTTTCCCCTGGCTCTTCACTCGTGTTTTAGAGAAGACCAGTTCCTACTGCACAGCAATTCTATCCCCACAGTGAGGCAATTGTGTGAGCAAAGCAGACACAGTGACCACACACACAATCCTGTTGCTTCACATAGATATATGTATGGGTATAGATATACGGTATATACACACTGAGCTGGTTTTTTTTATATATATATATAAAATAACACCTTGTTTATAAAGCGACATTTAATTGCCACTGGTTCCCTTCCCACCCCACAAAAACAACAGTATACAAAATATAAAATATTTTAAATATTTATAAACGCCGCAAGAAAAAAAATAGAACTGTACGAAAATATTTTTTTCTGAGGTTCCCTCCCTGCCCTGTGGGAAGGAGAGGGGAAGGGGTACACATTTGGCAGGCCTAGTGTGCCTTGAGTCCATAGTTGTTAAGTGGATAGGAATACGCCCTGCCTAATACTATCCGGTCCCGGAGGAGCTTAAATAAGACATAATAATTGCAGAAAAGGATGAGGGCCATGGAGAGGGTATGATTCCACTTCTCTGAACGCAGCAGTGAATAGAGCTGGTAGCAGACCACGCTGCCTTCGATGAGAATCAGCAGGTTGAGCAGCCGTAATGGACGGTGGAAAAGGAACTGTGGAGGTAAAAAGCAGATTTATCATTTTTTGCCATGGTAAAGTGGGGAGAAGTGTGTGTGTAATTCTGTCCAGTGCCACTGAGCTGGGCAGAAGAAGTGTTTGTATTCCAGCCACTGCTAACTGCTACGCAGGGAAAGCAGCATAAAAGAAACAAGGCATGTAAAAATGTCATTTTCCTTGAGAGGAGGACCAGTAAAGTAACCTACAGGCCAACTGACATGCCTTCTCATTTTACTAGATGTTCTGTTAGCCACAGTCCTCTCATGAACACAGTAATGTCTGATGAGCTGCATCACCACAATGAGAAAACACCGACAAGGCAGCCATTACTTCTGTCTTGACCAGACATTTGAATAATACTGGGATGGGAAAACCCTGCTGCTAAGAATAGGCCTTCTGTTTAGCACCAACAGACTGCTGCCCAGCATCAAACTGTTCCAGACAACTTGCTCTGTTGCAGCTGCTGGGTTTAAGCCTCTCCTCCCTTCCACAGCTGTGACCCAACAAGAGAAGAGATACTTGCATAAAAGCGGGCATGGGACACGTCGGAAGGCACTGCTACATTGTAAGGCCCAACTGCTTTATACAGGCATCGGCTTCGTCGCACCAGAACTCCTTGTGGCCATATTGTGTTTTCTGACCAGCTGTGGGAAAAGAATGCCAGAGCATTAGCACGAGGGGAAGCAGGAGAGAGGATGCTCTCAACTCACTGAACATGGGTTCACAGGAATGGACTGCATCTAGAAAAACACCAAAGCTTCTGTGACAAGGGAGTCACAAGGGAATCCCCACTCCCGTTTGAAAAATGCAGAGGCAAGGAGCTCACAAGCTCACCAGGACTCTGCCTGGGCAACATGAAGAAATGGCTCCCTATGCAAGAACCTAGCCCGCTATGCTGGTGGGGCCACCCTTGCCCCCATGTGACTGCTCTAGCGGCCAAGAGTGTTTGTCTCCAAGAAAAAAACAGCACTTGACCAGAGAAGCTTTTGGACAGCTTTCTAGAGCAGTCACTTCTGTCTCCTGGGAACAGAAAAATCAGAGTTGCATCTACTACCTGTGACACTGTGAGGAGTGTAGAAGCTTCCTCAGTAGACAAGCAAGTATCAGCAGTGCTCATCCACCAGAATGTCTCATCAGCCCCTTGTTGGCAGGCCAAGCCCTCCCCATCCCCACACTCACATATGCTGTGGAGCATTGCTGTAGGAGCCATGTTCTAGTTTCTGCCACTTGCCAAGGTGGGCAGCCGATCTGTGGAGCAGGTCACAGTACTTGGGAGGCAACAGCTGAGTGGTGAGCATGACAAAGGCATTGATCCACACCATGATGAGGTGCTCACAAGACCAGCGCATGTCGTAGTACTGCGTGCTCTGCAAAGAGACCAGACAAGAGCTCGGCACCACTGTCACTCAGCAGAGGAGGGAATGACAAGGGACGTACTGCATGTGCATCCAGCAGACCCACATCACACGTTACAGGCATGCGCTTTTGGACCAGTGATTTCAGAGGGTTACAGCTAGGAAACACTCAAGGCTCCCTTCTCCTTGATCTGAAGGAGAAAGGGCAGGGGCATGATGCTGCAGCTGGTGCATCTCCTCCTCTAGCAGCGGATGACAGGAGGGTCTGCTTGCCACAGAACTGCTTCAGGAGCACCAGTTGCACCAGGACTGCTACATGGATTGTGGAGTCCTGCCCGTTTCATTACACCAACTGGAGCTCATACAAATTAGAAAAAGACAATAGATACAACCCCCACGCTGACAAGGGGTTCTTGAATTTAGGCTCCCAAACGTTCTAGTTGGCTCTGCTTTCTAACAGGCTGAACACCAAAGCCTCTGATCCAAGCACTCAAAACTCAGGATGATATTGGATCTGAGACAGGTAACGACAAGTGCCCTTCTCTACAAGGAACGCCGCTATCCATCTGCCTAGAGCAGGGGGTGGGAGAAGGGGAGTTAGTAAGTGGGGTGATGGGACTAGAGGTGCATCACATTTATGGCAATACCTATCCGCCAACCAGGAGCAGTACTAGTGCACTCCGGATGCAGCCATGCTCCGCTATCCGGGCTGCCAAAGGGGAGACAGAGAAAAGGGGAATTAACCAAGAATCTGGCCCGGCAGCAATTCACACAACATTCAGAAGGAGGCGGCAGACAGGGGCACAAGAGAAGCAAACAAGAGCTACCTTGACAAAACACAGTGGCAGGAAGGCCACGTAGTAGGCACTGAAGAGAGAGTTGAAGAGAACTTCCTTGATCCTGCGGTTGAAGTCTGCTTTTAGGCACTCCACTTCATTGCGGATGAGATCTGGGGAGAGGGGGCAGCTGTGGGTAGGGATAGATGTAGGATTATTGAACTGTTCTCTCAAGGATTCCCACAGGAGCGAGAGGAAATCTTTGGGTTTGACCAGGCTGCTGACAGCTGAAGACCCATCTTCCACCATCTGATCCTGTACCAAGTAACCACAGTCCGCAGGCAGGGGCTGTGCTCTGCTGTCCTGGTGGAAGCAGCACAGAGGAACATAAACACCAAACCTGTGGGGAAAGAAGGAAGAAAGAAAGGCTGAAATGACATACATCCCAAAATGAAGCAGGGGCCACCTTCAAGAAGGACACCACATGAAGCAAACACCTAACTCAAAAAACTGTGCTTAAAAGTTTCTTAAATCCCACTCGTGGAACAAGTGATCTCAGTGGCTCGGCTGTCAGCTGCAAAGGCCTGTCATGCAAATAGCAAGCTGCAGACAATTTGCTTCATAGAGTCAGGGCTCCTCCCTGCATCATCTTTTAGCTACTCCTACTTCCCCTTTATTCGTAAGATAAGATTTGTGTCTGTGTTTTAGGGACAGATTACAGCCAGCAGCTCTGATTCCCATAGTGGCTAACCCCTAGGCAGCTACGCTCCGCCTGCCCTGAAATTACAAGGTATCATTCATTACTCACGGGTAGCCCAAGAAGAGAAGATTGAGAACGGAATGGCTGCGGAAGAGGTTGACTAGAGTCCAGCAGAGTACCCAGCCACAGAGGGTAAGTAGCACCAGGCGCACCATGTAGTGAATCACTGACGTTGCGCCCACCTGAGAGGCCTACAAGGAGAGAAGATATGTTCAGCAGCCCTACTGCACTGGTGCTCAAACACACACGGGTGCTTCTAGAGGAAGAGCAGTGAGAGGGTCCAGGAAG